TCCCGAGTACTTAACTGGGTGTGGAGGGGGTGGCCGGTTGGGAGCATTGAGCCTGAATTCGCACCTTACAAAAGCCGCCAAAACGAACTCTCGATTTCCAAGGGGTGTCTACTATGGGGCAATAGGGTGGTGGTCCCTGCCCAGCTCAGGAAGAGAGTATTGGAATCCCTGCACGAGGGTCACCCTGGGATGGTGCACACCAAAGCATTGGCCAGAGGGTATGTCTGGTGGCCAGGACTGGACAAGGAAATCGAGGAGTGGGTGCGAGTCTGCTCCAAGTGTCAGCAGGTTAGACCTGATCCCCCACACGCTACACCCCAAGCCTGGGAATCATCTGGGAAACCCTGGGCCAGGTTGCATATAGATTTTGCTGGCCCTCTCCAAGGGCAAATGTTCTTGATTGTCGTAGATGCAATGTCTAAATGGTTAGAAGTTGTACACATGAAGTCGACCACTTCACTAGCCGTAATTCATGCGCTTCGCCGCCTTTTTGCCACACACGGGTTGCCTGACGTCATCGTCAGTGACAACGGGCCTCAATTTGTTTCTGAGGAGTTCAGATACTTCCTCACGAGTAATGGCATCCGCCAAATGACTTCGGCCCCTTTCCATCCGGCATCTAATGGCCAAGCCGAACGGATGGTCAGGACGGCCAAAGAGGCCCTGGGTAAAATGGACGAGGGTGACTGGAGCCAGAGGCTGGGCTCCTTTCTTTTGCGGCAGCACACCACCCCCTGCAGTGCTACAGGCCGCAGTCCGGCCGAGTTGCTAATGGGGCGGGGGCTCACAACTCGGTTAAACAGGTTGCATCCGGATCTCACTGACGATCATTCCGAGCGTACCGACTCACAACCGAAGGTACGAATGTTTGAAAAAGGGGACAAGGTTCTTGCACGGAATTATGCTAATGGTCACTTATGGCTTCCTGGGGTAATATCCGACTCTGTGGGTACTCGCATGTATGTGGTACAGTTGGCTGACGGTCGAGTATGGCGGCGCCACATAGATCAGCTAAGGAGACGTTGGGCTAAGGACAGCGCTGACTCTCCGACGGCTGAATTCCCCAATGTTGAGTGGAGACCCCCAGAGCAGGCGGTGAGTACCGAAGGGCCCGGTACTGTCCCCGAGTCAGGGCAGACCCCTGTGTGCGGGGCTGAAACCCCAGTAGAGTTTGTGCCTGAACCAGGCTGTAGTGAACCCCACAGTGACTCACAACCTTGTGTGCCCATAGAGCCTGCACCGCTTCGCAGGTCTCAGCGTACGCGGCAGATGCCAACTTATCTAAAAGACTACGAGTGTAATAAAGTATTTTGGAACAGTTGATGTACAACAGCGTGACTTGAATGTATGTAAATAATAAAACAAATGGATGATGACTTAACTTAGGGGGGAGGAATTGTAATGTATTGAAACGATTACATGAATCACCTCATAGGACTCCTATGTTAAGCTTCGAGCCAGACCAGGCTCCTCTGAGCGAACTTCCTATTGGTCGCTTCGTAACAGCGACCAATCAGAACTGTGCCTTTTCCCTGCGAGGGAAAGACTTTCATTGGTCCTTAACTAAGCAATCTCATTGGTTGTTATTTGTAAATAGGCGTGGCTACATTAGCCCGGTTATGTTTAAAAGGAGCATAAGCTCCCACTGTTTTCCGTTCTGGTTTCTTACTGAGTTGAGTGCTTGTTCGTTACTTCCAATAAAGCTGAATCACTTGCTGAATCACTCTAAGAGTCCTTTGTTAGCGCGATCTAACAGTGCTGAAAACGGAGGATTGGGCTTGGCAGATCCTTCAACCATCCCGGGGCCCCAGCCGCGCTTTTATTTATACATCGCCAAGTAGCAGCATTAGATGCTGTGCAGGTATGGGCATTCTCTGCTGGTAAAATCAACATGGAAAGGACCAGGAAGGAATAAAGAGAACGCACCAATCGAATGACGGCTCGCGTTGAGCACAAGGGGCTTGCAACAATTTTAAATTTGGGGATGGGAGACAGGGACCTGTCTTTCTGCACTGCCTAGGAAATAGCAATACTCTGCAAACCAAGGTAAGCCCTGTAAAAGCTGCTATTAAATGACTATTGGGTCCCATTCAATAGCAGGATAGATTTCCAGAGAGAAATACGCAGGAGAAGACTATACAGTCTATTAATACCAATGGGGGATTTAGAAATGCGTTTAACACATTAAGAAGAAAAAAGTTTGACTCCAGTGGCACCTCTAAGACCAACAGAATTTTACTCAAGGTAGAAGAGGCGATTGGATTTATACCCCACCCTTCACTACCCAAAGGAATCTCAGAGCAGTTTACAAACTCCTTTCCCTTCCCCTCCCCACAACAGACACCCTGTGAGGTAGGTGGGGCTGAGAGAGCTCTGACAGAAACTGCTCCTTTTCAAGGACAGCTCTGACAGAACTATGGCTTGCCCAAGGTCATCCAGCAGGTGCAAGTGGAGGAGTGGGGAATCACTCAGTTCTCCCAGATTAGAGTCCGCGCACTTAACCACTACACCAACTGGTATAAGCTTTCGTTCTGCAAGCACACTTTTTCAGATAGTCAAATTACCTGCACCTTTGTAGTGTTACTAAACAGTTATTTTGGCGTGCCATGAAATGTGAGTGATCGAAACCACCTATTTGACATCACAGACAGAAGGTGATGTCACAGTGTGCTGTGTGGCAAATAAGATTTGGCTGTGTTGAAGCTAAATGAAGCTGATTGTGATAGCATTGGTCACATGGGTGATCCTAGCCAATGGGGATTGTCTTCATTGTGAGGTGAAAGTCGTTGAATGCCTGTTGAAATATGTCCAGGGCTTCTTTACCATGTGTCCAAGACAATAAAAATGTCATCTGGATATATGGACTCTGTTCTGAGACCCTATGCCATCAGTGTTCCTAGTTATGTGCATGACACCACAGAATTTCTAAGGAAAATACAATATTTGAACCACCTTCCAGAGAATACTACTTTAGCCAAGGATGTGGAATCTGTCTGCCAACATCCCAAAGATGGATTACAAGCCATAAGGAATATAATTTCTAACACCACAGCTGATTTAGCCACCAAACTGTGCCATTTTGTTCTCACCCATAACCACTTTAAATTTGGTGACAACTACAGATTCCTATGAGGAGCTGCAGTGGCTCAAGTGATTAAGACGCTGAACTGCAGGCTGTTAGAAGGTCGGTAGTTCAGCAGTTCGAGACCCGAGTGTGCCGCATGACGGAGTGAGCTCCCGTCTCTAGTTCCAGCTCCTACCAACCTAGCAGTTCGAAAGCAAGAAATTGCAAGTAGATAAATAGGTACCACTTCGGTGGGAAGGTAACAGCGTTCCGTGAGCCTTGGTGTTTAGTCATGCCGGCCACATGACCACAGAAACGTCTTCGGACAGCGCTGGCTCTTCGGCTTTGAAACAGAGATGAGCACCGCAACCCTAGAGTCGGATTCGACTGGCTTTCGAGCAAGGGAACCCTTACCTTTTTACAGATTCCTATAGGTCAGTGGTATCTTTACGGCATCTTTACCACCTTTACAGCATCTTTATGGCCAACTTGGAGCAATGCATCCTTAACTCCCAACCACTCACACCTCTCTTATACCTGTGATATATTGATGGTTTTATTGTTATAAATGGAACCCCCTGGGCTTAACAGAGATACCAGCTTATCTCCTTAGACATGCTAAGTCACTCCGTTCTCACTTATACCTGGAAATTAAACTTTGTTGCTCTTATCTTAAAGGTGCCACTGGATTCAAACTCAGTTCTCACATCTGTTAATTCCTTTATCTGTATGCCAATTTGCTGCTATTCACGTCTAACCAAATGTGTCATTCCAATCTTAGCCATATTTATCACTCAGTTATTTATGCATCTGACTCTAATTAGCCCTTCCTGACAACTAACCGCCCACCTATATGTAACATTTGAGGAAATCTGTTTCAGTGTATCTGAAGGGACTGTGCTAAGTCTCTCAATTCTCACTTATGCCCAGAATTGAACTTTGTTATCTTGGAAGTGCCACTGGACTCAAACTTGGTTCTCATATCTGTTTGTTGACTCTTGTATTTGTATGCTAATTTAATCTCAGCTATAATTGCCCAGTTACTTATGCATCTTGACTCACTAGCCCTTCTTGCCAAATAACCCCTCCACCTATATGTCATGGTGAGGAAATTCTGTTTCACTGTATCTGAAGAAGTATGCTAGCACGTTTTGTTTGTCTTAAAGGTGCTGCTACTGGACTCAAACTTTGTTTTGCTGCTTCAGACCAACACAACTGCGCACCTGAATCTCTCTCATTAAGGCTGAGCTGAAGGAGATGGAAAGCATCCTTTTCACAAACACTTGGAGCAGGAGAGAAAACCTTCCTCCTCCCCTCATTCACTCAGTTCTGGGTGAGGACAAGAGAGAATCCCCATTGGCTAGGATCACCCATGTGACCAGTGCCATCAGTCAGCTTTATTTAGCTTCAACATACAGCCAAATCTGATTTGCCACACAGCACACTGTGACATCATCTTCCCTCTGTGATGTCAAATAGGTGGTTTCAACCACTCACATTTCATGCCATGCCAAAATTGCTGTTTAGTAACACTATACAAAGGCACAGGTAATCTGACTATAGCAAATTCAGAAAAGGGGGAAAGGATCTACCCCTCTAAAATGGAAGGTCAGTTCTGTGCATGATGTTAGTCTTTTGTTTTGTGAGAAAGGTGCATGGCAAGGAGTCCAAGGCCTCAGCTAAGTATATAAGGCGTCAGTTCCTCCATTTGCAATGGGTCAAAACCACTTACTTCGTCTCCATTCTCTCATAGCAGCAAATCCTGCTTTGCAGAAATGATACAAAAGAATTAGAAATGGAAGGAAGCCAGGTAATATAATAAATTTCAGGACCTTGTCCTTCTGAGAACTTGGGTGGGTCTGCTCTGCACCCACATATTTACCAATACAAACCACACATCTTTGATACTTGAGCATGAATAGGTGCTTGAGGGGGGGAACATCATTTTTATTCAAATCTATTTTACAGATAACAAAAATGAACATTTACACGAGCTCCCTAGCTGCCCCCACCAGCAGTTAAACATAATAACACAAGGAACGTGTATGCAGGTTCCCTGCTGTTAATCTGCACCATGAACAGTATGCTCTTTCCACAAGAGCAAACGTCCACCCAGTCCTTTCCCCACAGTCAGCAATAGCCTGCGTAATCTGTGAAGAGTGAGTGGCAGAGGTACAAAACCAACAGCTTCTGAGGTAGAGGAACAAAATTGGAAGGTCGACCCGCTCTTCTATCATCTCCTGCCCATTACAATGAAGGCCGTCAATTCTGAACAAGGGGCCTCCATGGATATTTAATTCATCTTGCGTTTCCTCCGGCCCACCGGCATTTTGTAGACAGGTAAGGGCAGGCAGAGCGTCCCCAGTTTGTGGTCCTCACATCCAGACAGGCTTTTGCTCTTGGAGATTTTTAGCCTCATGGCCTTGGCAATATCAAGAATCCTGGTGGGAGAAAACAGAAATAGGCCTGTAAAGGGGATTTGTCTTCCACCTCCTCTCTTGCTTGCTGGTTTTTGCCCTTCCTTTCTGCCCCTCCTTCGGCCATCTCCCAGCACTGCAGAAATTTAGACGGCAAACTCATCAGGGCAGAGATTAGTCTACTCATTCCTGTCACTCAATAAAGTACCGGGTATATTGATGGTGCTATGTAAAGAAAGAATCTGTAATCCTTCTGGTTAAAACTTACTAGAATCGCAGTCACCCCACTAAGGTACTAAACCCACAAGCTTTTCCCCCCCAGCTCCCCACACAAGAGAATAATCTAGTGATCCCAAACACCTGCTGACACGTTTCATGGTAACCTGCCAAGTGTTTGTAGAAAGTCCATGGGGCCAGGTGGCGCTTTTGGCTGTGCAGATTTTTTAAAAACTTTGCTTTGGCAGCAGTTGTCACCGCAGCAAAAGGATCTTCACTGTGTAACTGAAGGCAAGGCCTGGCGGCCATTTTGTTGGCTCACTTCACCGCCTACAGCAGCCATTTTGTGCCCGTGCCCACCATGCTATGTCAGAATTCCAAAAGTGCCCATAGGCTCAAAAAAATTATCATTTGTGGCCTACAAGAAAACACAGTGATTATAAAACTCCCTAGCCTGTAACTCCCTCCATATTTTGCAATAAAGCTTCTTCAGGGAATCTGTAATATAATCCACAATTATAAGAGCTAAATTCCCATAATTAGAGTATGTTTTATAAAAGTGATTTAATTACCAAATGCAAATGTACCAAAAAATACCAAGTACAGTTAACAAAGATAGGTTACTTTTAATCTTTGTTAACAGTACACTTGATTTTTTTTTAGTACTTTTGTGTTTGGTAATAAATCACTTCTGTAACACATACTCTAATTATGGGAACTCAACTCTTATAACTGTCTATTATATTACAGATTCCCCTAAAGCTTTATTGTGAAACGTGGAGGGAATTTTACTTTACCCAAACAATAAAATATTCTTCTTCATTTGCGCTGTCGGCTTTTTTGGCCTGTTTTTTAAATCTCTGTGATCAGCGTGGCCATTCTGTTCTTTTCTTGGCCTTAAACTGAGCCAGAGTTTTGGTTTGCCAAAAAGTGCAGTATAGTGTACTTTGAAATGTCAGAGTTTCTTTGGGAATCTCATGCAGAGAAGCATCCATTCGCAACGCCTGCTCTCAGAGATGCTTTTAACTGCAGAATTCAGAGTCTGAACCTGGAACCTTTCACTATGCAAAGCACAGGTACACAAATGGCCCCACGTGAACGGTCATCACCACCACCTGCAGACATTTCCATCAAAATCTATAACTACTCTTTCAGCTAAGCCACAGCTGATTAATAGGTAACTGGGAACAAATTACTCAGGAGTGACTTAATAGTCTACACTATTAAAGAACAATTAATTGCTTATCAATAGCCCTGCATAATTTGGGACTGCTTCTCTCCACAGGAGCCAATTAAGATTTAGCCCATAGCTGTTGACAGTAAAGATCTTCAACCAAGGGAAGATGAAAAGGGCCAGAGAGAGAGGGAGAAAGAGAGCGTCTTTTCAGTGGTGGCTGCAATCCTCTGGACCAGGGGTGCTTAACTTGGGGCTTACAGGCATCCCTGAACTTGGATTTTGGGGGGGGGGGATTACATCTTTGTTTTCACTAACCTCTAACTGAAATTTATCATTTCCTTCAATTATGAATGTAGGCAACAAAACACAGCAGTATTAGCAGTACCTGTGACTTTGTCACCAACAGAAATCACAGATATTTTCATATTGCATTACAGCTGTTTCAGGTATCTCAAGATATTGTGCATGCTCATCACTACTTCAAAAGGGTCCATAGGCTTCACCAGACTGCCAAAAGGATCCATGGCATAAAAAAGGTTAAAAGCCCCTGCTCTGGAATTACCTTTTTTGTCTGACATGCTGAGCAGTGAAATCTGGGTGAAATCACAGAACAGCCAGAGGAGGGAGAGTTTTATTACCTTGTGACCTTCTTGGCTTCCATCCTGCCATGACTAACATTTTGCACTATGCAGTTCCCTTTTAAACTGTCAATGGGGGAGGCATTTCTTTTTTCATTGACTTGCCAGAGCCCTGCCATTTCTAGGGGCTGTTGCTGTTTGTCTCTCTTGCGTTTTGTGCAATTGCACTGTTGTCATTTCATTGCTCAATGTATTATTTTTTTAACCATTTTTGGTAAATCACCCTGAACGCAGGAAAAGAAGTATAGGCATTTCTACAAATTATATGATATATTGCTAGACTTGGAGGCAAAGGCTCTTGTGACTGGATCTTCTTTTTGCCTGGTTCAAAAGCTGTTGGCAGCAGAAAACCATAGCTGTTGGACAGGTTATGCGATGCAGGATTTGGCCTTGGAATTTCTGTCTCCCAGGAGTTGGGAAGGAGCAGGCTGAGTCTGGCTGAACTCAAATTGCTCACTGGTGGCAAATCAATTGCCCTTTCAAATAACTTGCTGTGCCGACTTAGCAACCAGGCTGTCCAAAGTGCCGGTTGGAGTTTCTCAAGCTGATCACACCGAGGATTCCTTTCTTCCCTGCCGATTTCACTCCTAAATGGGCCTACCGCAGAAACTGCCTGCGTCTCATTTTAATGGAGTTGCTTCCATGGACTTTAGAGCCAACCGGCACCTCTTGATAAGGGGCATTTATTGTTGAAAAGCCCTGTAGCTTGATTCCATCAGATCTCAGAAATTAAGCAGGGTTGGCCCTGGTTAGTCACTTAGATGGGTGACCACCAAGGAAGTCCAGGGTTGCTACACAGGAGCAGGCAATGGCAAACCACTTCTGAATGCCTCTTGCCCTGAAAATCCAGTGGGGTCGCCATAACTCAGCTGCAGCCTGTTGTCACTTTCCACCAGCATCGTTGTCGAAAACCCAACTGCAGGAATTGGGGAAGGGATATTGACAGGCCCTGCTCCACAGGCCGCAAAAAGCCACAAGCACAAGCCCTGCAACGCCTTCCCTAGGCCCGCCCCAAAGACACCTTACACTGCAATCTTTTGCGCTCCCCAGAACACTCCATCATGCTTGATGAAGCGTTCTGGGGAATATCAAAGCTTGCATACTGTTGTGTGTCCTTGGTTTGCTCCTCGTTAAAGATGTTTGCACAGATTGTTTGGGAGCTGGAAATAAAGGGATATTAAAGATGAAGAAGTAGGACCAGCAAAAAAAAAAAAAAAAGTGGCCACCTTCCAAAGGGAATGTGGATTAAGAATGCCACAAAATAATCAGAAGCTCTTTGGCTACAAAAGGATCACTAACAGTTAAGAGCAAGTATGGTCAATATTGGACTTCTAGAGAGCAAGGGGCTGGGACTCATGTTTGCCTGGAAATGGTGCCTGTGGATGCACAAGTCACATTCCCTGATCTCAGGTACCGAGAAAGACAGCTGTGTGGACCTGGCTGAAAGGAAAGAATGCCCTGTGCATGCTCAGAGGCCCTTAAGCCTGTCAGTGGCATTTTTCCTATTTGCTATCCCTGGTTATCTTTCTAGGTAGCTGGCTTCATCTGCCTAATATGTGAAAACATTCAGTTTGCGCATCCTCAAAATGTAGCTCAGCGGTAAAGCCCTTGCTTGGCGTGGAAAAGATCCCAGGTTCACCCTCAAGCGCTTCCAAAGCTTGGGGGACCCTGCTCAGAACCTTGGAGAGCTGCTGCCAGTTAGAGTAGACAATACCAGGCTACACAGACCATGAGGGAATAACCATGCCTTATATTTTCCTTACATCCTGTTCAGGTCTGCCCGGGGTCCCAACCCTCAAACACGCAGGGCACGTTCCATGCGCAGAACTCAATTCCCAAGTGCAGGGGGGCTTGATTTGGATTAAGACCACGGTATGCAGGACTTAAGCCTCCCCCCCACCTACTGTTTCCCTGACCTGCAACACACCATTCATTCCTATCTCTTGTTTAATGTGCCCTGCTAAGAGAGAATGTAGGCGCTGAATCTGGATGACATCAACAGGATAGACACAGCAAGCCATGGATGCAAGGGACCGCAGATCTTTCCCCACATCCCTTCCACCTGATGGTCCTTTCCAATATCCGGAAAACTGATTCCCAGGGATTACGAGACCCACGTGGACAAAAAGCCATGTAGTTCGACACTGAGGGTGGCGGAAGACACTCCTCCCTCTTCTGAAAGACAGAAGAGGCGATTTTGCCCTCTTCCTCCTCCTCCTCCATGCAGCCTTCCACATTGCCCACTGATCGGACCATGTGGGTCCCACAACCATGGGAATCAACTCTCTCAAGGCCAGAAGAGATTGCTGGAGACAGGGACACTTCCGGGAGCCAACCTAAAAGGAGGCAGCTTCCCGCAGTCAAGGTTCTCCGAGCAGAAACAGGAATCCTGAAGGTGCCGTGGTCTTCCCAATAGAGAAGGGCGATCACTAGGTTCCCCTCACCTGTTCTCCCGCAGTTTCAGGTCCTTTTGCAAGACTGTCAGGTCCGTTTGGAAGTGGTTGATATGCAAGGCCAGGGCTATGACGTACGCAATTATCTTCGCTTTCATGGATGCAGAAACTACATTCTGAATCCTTGAGAAGAGAAGAATGAGGAAAGATCTGAGAAACAGAACACGGCCAAGCGTCCTACATCTAGCACTGTGTGTATACCCTGCAGTTTCAAACATATAAAATCCCACACTAATGCAATCCAAACAAGAGATTTTCCCGCAGCTTGCATGAATTACACAAACTTGAATAAATGCCCTGGATATGCACGATTTAGTCCACATTTTATTTGATATTTTATAGAGTTTATTCTGTGTTCCTTCTCTGCTTGTGTGGTATCTTAGCACACACCGCAGTCCTGGCTACAGCTTAGTTGCAGGGCACCTTAGTTGAAGGTGAGGATTGCACAACAGCCTGACCTGGATGGCCCAGGCTAGCCCGATCTCACCAGATCCCAGAAGCTAAGCAAGGTCAGCCCTGGTGAGAACCTGGTTAGGCGGGCCATGGCAAACCACTTCTGTTCGAACATTCAGTTTGCGCATCCTCAAAATGTAGCTCAGCGGTAAAGCCCTTGCTTGGCGTGGAAAAGATCCCAGGTTCACCCTCAAGCGCTTCCAAAGCTTGGGGGACCCTGCTCAGAACCTTGGAGAGCTGCTGCCAGTTAGAGTAGACAATACCAGGCTACACAGACCATGAGGGAATAACCATGCCTTATATTTTCCTTACATCCTGTTCAGGTCTGCCCGGGGTCCCAACCCTCAAACACGCAGGGCACGTTCCATGCGCAGAACTCAATTCCCAAGTGCAGGGGGGCTTGATTTGGATTAAGACCACGGTATGCAGGACTTAAGCCTCCCCCCCACCTACTGTTTCCCTGACCTGCAACACACCATTCATTCCTATCTCTTGTTTAATGTGCCCTGCTAAGAGAGAATGTAGGCGCTGAATCTGGATGACATCAACAGGATAGACACAGCAAGCCATGGATGCAAGGGACCGCAGATCTTTCCCCACATCCCTTCCACCTGATGGTCCTTTCCAATATCCGGAAAACTGATTCCCAGGGATTACGAGACCCACGTGGACAAAAAGCCATGTAGTTCGACACTGAGGGTGGCGGAAGACACTCCTCCCTCTTCTGAAAGACAGAAGAGGCGATTTTGCCCTCTTCCTCCTCCTCCTCCATGCAGCCTTCCACATTGCCCACTGATCGGACCATGTGGGTCCCACAACCATGGGAATCAACTCTCTCAAGGCCAGAAGAGATTGCTGGAGACAGGGACACTTCCGGGAGCCAACCTAAAAGGAGGCAGCTTCCCGCAGTCAAGGTTCTCCGAGCAGAAACAGGAATCCTGAAGGTGCCGTGGTCTTCCCAATAGAGAAGGGCGATCACTAGGTTCCCCTCACCTGTTCTCCCGCAGTTTCAGGTCCTTTTGCAAGACTGTCAGGTCCGTTTGGAAGTGGTTGATATGCAAGGCCAGGGCTATGACGTACGCAATTATCTTCGCTTTCATGGATGCAGAAACTACATTCTGAATCCTTGAGAAGAGAAGAATGAGGAAAGATCTGAGAAACAGAACACGGCCAAGCGTCCTACATCTAGCACTGTGTGTATACCCTGCAGTTTCAAACATATAAAATCCCACACTAATGCAATCCAAACAAGAGATTTTCCCGCAGCTTGCATGAATTACACAAACTTGAATAAATGCCCTGGATATGCACGATTTAGTCCACATTTTATTTGATATTTTATAGAGTTTATTCTGTGTTCCTTCTCTGCTTGTGTGGTATCTTAGCACACACCGCAGTCCTGGCTACAGCTTAGTTGCAGGGCACCTTAGTTGAAGGTGAGGATTGCACAACAGCCTGACCTGGATGGCCCAGGCTAGCCCGATCTCACCAGATCCCAGAAGCTAAGCAAGGTCAGCCCTGGTGAGAACCTGGTTAGGCGGGCCATGGCAAACCACTTCTGTTCGTCTCGTGCCTTGAAAACCCTGCAGGGTCGTTGTTAGTCAGCTGCGACTTGACGGCACTTTCCACTACCATTTCACAACTGACAATGAGCCAGAGTGGTGTAAAATCATACAAGCCAGTATTCTCTAGATCAGGGGTGTCGAACTCATTTGTTATGAGGGCCGGATCTGACATAAATGAGACCTTGTCGGGCCGGGCCATTAGTGTCATAAAATGTAATGCCAGGTAGCGGAGATATAAACTTTATAAAGGACACAAACACAAAGATTTTTTTTACTTAAAATAAAAACAGGCTTAAAACATTAGCACTCTTGCAATATTTTGTTTATTTAACAGTGGCCCCAGTCACATGGCAAAGTTGCCGCAGGAGAGGCACGGATGGTGGGCGGATTATCCGGGCGCGATCACACCCCAACATCTGGGAAGTGGAGCGCACCCGTGGCTTACCGCCGAAAATGCGGATTAAAAAACTAGTACCTCCAAGGTACTAGTACACGTTTGCCACGGGCTGCCTCCAGACGCCGGTGGTGTGATCACACCGGCGCGCGGCATTCCCCTCCGGTCCCTCGTTTACCCGCCAGTGCCAAGGGAAGGACCTGTGGTGTGCCGCCGGCGCATCTGAGCGCGTAATCGCGGATCAAACTGCGCCGGGGCAATTAGCCACGCCTCCCCCCGCGATATCCGGCCCATGTGACCGGGGCCAGTGTCTGATAACTGACACCTCTTTCTCTGAATTATTGCATCAAAATGTCTGTGCTGTTGCAATCTTGAGTATGCTGTTCAGGTGTGCATCTGTAAGCTGCAAACTTACAATGACGCAGCAGCAGCAACAGCAGAACTGGAAGAAGCAGAAGACAGCCAGTTCCACTGCGGGCCTGATAGAAGCCCTCCGGGGACCTAATCCGGCCCCCGCGCCACATACAGCAGAATTGCACGAACCACGACGATGAAGTACTCTGTTAGCAACATTCTGCAGAGACCTCCCGGTGCCCTTCTGAACACTTTCTGAAGGCTGTGGAATGCTAACAAAGAATCAAAATTCATTCACCCAGTACGGACTCCAGCAGCTGAGCTGAGAAACAAGGACAAAGGGACCGAGTACAGAATCCTCCATATAGTAGGATGGCCCGTTCTTGAAGTGATGAAAGTTTTAGTATCCTTCTCAGACACACAGACAAGGGAAGGTTTTTTGAAAAAATGTGTGCGTGCATGCGTGTGTATCTGGAAGTCATGGCGATCTCTGGTGACTGACCCCTGTTGAGGTCCTGGAGGATATTCAGAGGGGTGGCTGAATGAAGCCTGCCCCCACCTCCCAACTGCTGGTATTCCAAGGAGGTCTCCCATCCAAGTACTTGCCAGAGTCGACCCTGCTTCGCTTCTGAGATCTGATGAGATCTCTTCAGTCCTGACAAAGACGTTTGACTCTACAGTAACCAAATCTTCTGCAATACACTTTTGAAAGAAAGCTTGTGTAAGAGTGGTTCCGCTGAGAGCCTGACAGACGCCTGGGCTATCCAGGTCAGGGCAGACAAGGAAAGTTTGGCAGGCACAAAAGCCCAACTTCCCAAAGCACCGCTCTCCAGTTACTAAAGGTGAAGGAGCACACCTGAACACCATAGAGAAGCCCTCGCTTAGCAACAAGACCTCCACCCCAATCAAGGCCTTTTAGCCAACCGAGCCCTGTTTTGCTAGACTCTTCTGCAGAGACCACAACACAACAAACATACCTGCCGTTGCCATAGGAGAGTGCAGTGAAATTTTTCACAAGTTTGTTGCTGATGTCAAGTGGGCAGTCAGGCCCCATCGCTTCTGGAAGGGGGAAGGACAATTCAGTTAGATTTTCCAAGATCCTGAGCATCAGTTCTACAAAGCCAGGGTCACACTGAACTAAACAAAGAAGATTCAGCTCTTGCTACCAAAACCCTGAACTGAAGATTAAGCAAGTGTGTGTAGTAGAATCTGGGAGATGCTGGTTCAAATCTCCGTTCTGAAAATAGTTACAAGAATGGGCACAGTAATAAGACCAATGAAAAAAGAAAAAAGAACTGTGACAATTTAGTGCTTGGTACTATATTCATAAATCATAATATACAATAACAGAAAATAAGTAATATATATAGTGAATGTAGACGGTGGTCTCCGGAATGGTGTGCCGTTTCGACAATGATCTTCTTCTGAACAAGGATGTGTACATAAACTGTCTTTCAACAATTCATAGTCCATTGAAGAACATAGCTGTAAGCATAGCTTTATGATGAAGTGAATCAACAGTATATTTTCAATACGTCACCAAGAGAAATGAATTGTTGAAAGACAGTTTATGTACACATCCTTGTTCAGAAGAAGATCACTGTTGAAACGGCACACCATTCCGGAGACCACCATCTACATTCACTATATATATATTACTTATTTTCTGTTATTGTATATTATGATTTATGAATATAGTACCAAGCGCTAAATTGTCACAGTTCTTTTTTCTTTTTTCATTGGTCAAATCTTCGTTCTGTCATGAATTCACTGGGTGACCTTGGGCCAGTCATTCTCTTTCCACCTAACCTACTTCACAGGGTTGTTGTGAGGCTAAAAGAAGGGAAAATCAGGAACCACATATGCCGCAGAAAGGGCATAGAAGTGTACTAAAGATATTTCCAAACTTGTATTTAAGAGCCTGCCAACACTGATGGAGTAGATCTGATGACAATTCTGAGACACTGAAATGAAAGTCAATTACCACTTTAACAAACAAACAGCTAATGGGGTCGTGAGCCATAAATCAATTAAGCCAGAAAACTTTCCCTGTAAATTTGAGATTCTGCAGCTCAAATTCACTGGATTCGTGGATCAGCTGAGAACCCCAAAATACTCTGACTGGATTCCAAAAGACACTGAACCAAAAAACATTTCTTACATGGACATTGCCTCTGCATACAAGAAGCCATGTATGTGTTTCAGGTACACTGTTGCCATGAGAGACTGGAGTTGTGTGCATGATGCCACGTGCTGAATGCATAGCAAAAACAAAGACTGGGAATATGAGCAGAGAACACAGCATCCCTAGAAGTGCAACATTATTCACTCTTTAGCCCTTTTGAAAGGGAGTGGGAATTGTCAAGTAAAGTTTCAGAAACCCCAGAGTGGCCAGTAAGACTTGCAGTGTTCAGGGGCCGAATTGCCTTGCAGCAACCAGCAGATCTGAACTAATATGAAAATGTGCTAAATATGGCACATTAGAGACAGAAGGGGTCCCTACAAATGAAGTAAAACAAAATAAGTAATTAAATACACGGAGGCTGGCTTGGACAAGCTCAAACACAAGTTAAACTGCTCATTGGGCACTTCCCATCAGCCGCCTTGCCATACCAGAAACAGGCTACGTTACTGGAAACTGAAGCAGGAGGAAAGGAAGGGAAGGGAACCAAACTTACGTTTCTTCTTAACCACCCTTTGGGAGCTCAGCTTGACAAGACTGTCAAGAAACCAGAGGCACCGGGCCTTGTGGTCACGCTTCTTCTCATCCACGGGCAGGCACTTCAGCTCATCCAACACGAAGGAGCAGTAGCTGAGCAAGACAAGAGAAGATGGTCGTGAGGCCCGAAAGCCACTCTAGCAACTGCTGCTTTCCCAGCTCCTGTAAAGCAACAGAGTTCTGTGTGCCTTGAAAGCCCAAACTCTCCTGTGATAACAGAAAAAGGCCCAGCAAATGATGCGGTGTCACCTGACGTCTTGTCTGTTTACACTTTCGTGTCTGCAGTATCTATCCTTTGCCCTAGCCTGGACAGGGGGGGAAAAGGAACAAGTGTAAGTAGAGCAGGAATTAGAGCCTCTAGATCCTTATGCATTTTGCTGTATGCTTTGTCAGGGGCTCTTACACAGAAACTTCTCTGGCTCCTAGAGAAGTTTCTATGTAAGATCCCCTGACAAGGCATATCGTGAAATGCACAGGGCTCTAGAGGATCTGCTCACCTTCTTCCTTTTTTCTCCTACCAACCGGCGCTGCTTTATCTGCTTCCTGACCTGGATAGCTCAGGCTAGCCTGATCTCAGCAGCTCTCGGAATTATAATTAATCAGTTATCATATGGCACTGTGTGTAGTGTAGCCAGGAGATCCTAAGATTGTCTGGCAGCCAGAAGTTCTAGCTCTTTCGCATTATGCACCACTAGGTGGCGAGCGAGGCTTGTTTTTTATTGGCAAGAGATGATTCAGAGGTGGTTTGCTGTTGCCTGTCTCTACATCACGCCCTTGGTATTCCTTGGAGGTTGCCCTTCCAATTCCTAGCCCACAGTCGACCCTGCTTTGCTTCCAAGATCTGATAAGATCGGGCTAGCCTGGGCAATCCAGGTCAGGGCAGAAGCTAAGCGGGGTCAGCCTTGGTCAGCATTAGGATGAGAGACCACCAAAAAATACCAGGATCACAACGCAAAGGCAGGAAATGGCAAACCACCTCTGAACACCTCTTGCCTTGAAAACCCCACTGGGGTTGCCATAAGTCAACTGTGACTTGACAGCAAGAAATATATCTATTTTTATCCTGCTCTTTTTTCAAGGAACTCCGGGTGGCATACAGTTCTCCACTCCTCTTTTTGTTATCACAACAATCCTGCAAGGTAGGCTAGGCTGAGTGAGAATGATTGGCCCAAGGTCACTTAGTGAGAGCTAGTGTGGTGCAGTGCTTAAGAGTGGCAGACTCTAATCTGGAGAACCAGGTTTCATTCCCCACTCCTCCACACAAAGCCTGCTAGGTGACCTTGGGTCAGTCACAAGTTCTCTAAGAGCTGTTCTCACAGGGTGCCTGTTCTGGGGAGAGGAAGGGCAAGAGACTGTAAGCTGCCCTGTGACTCTGAGTGAAGGGCGGGGTATAAATCCAATCTCTTCTTCATGGCTGAATGGGGGTTTGAACTCAAATCCTTAGTCCAACACCAACCACTATACCACAAGTGCCTATCCCAGCATGAACGAGGAACACAAACTGTCACAGCGGGCTACATATTAAGCCTGTAGCTAACATGTGGCCTGACATGTGCAAATGTGTCTACATGGTTCAACAGTGCGTGAATTCATTGAATGCAAGACAAAGCATTCCGTGGAAGGTGGCTGCGGTTAGGACGAATCAAAGGAAACCCTGCACTGTTCTCTGACCATCTGTGAAAGTGCAGGGAAGACTCCAGGACTGCATCCTCTGCCTGATTACACTAATCCCAGTGTGGGGCTTGAGTTTAACCTTACAGAAGCAGAAGTTCTGCCCAGGATGTCTGGTCCGTCCACTCACACATGCAAGCCATCATTTTAAATTGCAGCACAAGGCTGTATGTGTAAATCAGCCCCTCGCCCTCAGCCGTCCCAGGGACACAAGCATGACCCTTCCCCCTTCAAGCCACAGCGCACGGCTGCCGCCAGCAGCCCATTTACAGCACCCCATACCTCTTCTCTTTGGTCAGCTTCAGGATTTCCTCTGAGGTTATGTTCACAAAAGTTGCGGCTGGACCTTTTAGAGCCTCGTATTCGGCAGGCGAAAGAACTGAAGGCTTTTCTCAGGAAAACAAACCCTGCCCCGGATCCTAACGACTCCCTCTTGGAACCTCGAAGGCTGAAAAACCTCACTCTCGAAGGTAGACTTACCCTGAGGCAAGCCATCCCTGGATGAACTGGAGCTGCCTCCCTTTCCATTTACAAACACCTCTACTTCTGCCTTTACAACTAAAAGCCCATGCCTTCCCCTGTAACAGTGAATTTTATTTTACTTCATGTATTTATTTTCACTTCATTACTGTCTTTCTCCCCAGTGGCACCCCAAAGTGGATTACATAGCTCTCCTCTTATCTCATTTTATTCGCACAACAACCCTGTGAGGTAGGCTGGGCTGAGTGTGCACCAGTGGCAAAAGGCCACCCAGCCAGCTTCCATGGCAGAGTGGGGATTCGAACCTGGGTCTCCTAGATCCTAAATCCGACACTAATTACTACACCATCTTGGCTCTCAGTGTGTAAGCAATATTTGTACAAGGGTGTTCTGTTGGGATAGAGCACCATCTAAGCCCCCTGCCACCCCCCACCCCTGAACAAAACCCCAAAGGATACGCTCCTCAAACTTGTAGACATCTTCCACCCTTTCGGCATCTCCATAGCACGGAGGAAGGACCAAGGAGATTTCCGATTTGTCATCTTCGGTAGCATCACTGACTATGGCTTTCAAAGCGAGCAGAGAACACCATGAGAGTGTTGCACAAGAGGGATCTACAACAGCCCCGTGTGCCGTAAGCACAGCTGTTCCCAACTGTTCTGCTCAGGGATCTAACAGGACGATTCTGTTGGACTGCGGGACTGGGCACAACCTAGGAGATGATGCCACCAGGACTGGATGCTTTCCTACCATCCCTACACAGCCGGTTCAAAACGTGCAAAATAAGAGCACGTTGTAGTCCTTCAAGAGTGTACAAGTTCAGACTCCAAATGGGAAAATTACATTTTTAATGTGATTTAAAAAAACATAACCTCCTGAGCCATGAAAAGCTAGCATGTCAGGGGAAGGGGGAACTTTTGCCACCATTCTACATGCATGGATTCCCCTCCCCCCCCCTTTTAAATGCAGGTATGAACATTCCACACGCAGTCTAAGAACATAAGAAGAGCCCTGGTGGTCCATCTAGTCCAACAACCTGTTCCACACAGTGGTCAACCAGTTGTCCCGGAGGACCAGTAAACAGGGCACAGAAGCTGAGGCCCGAGGCTGCCTCTCAGCACCAGTATTCAGAGGTTTCCTGCCAGTGTAGAGGGAGGTTCCTTTCAGTCACCAATGCAGCTCGCAGCCACTGATGGACCTCAGCTCCACAAATCCGTCTATTCCAGTTTCAAAGCCATCTCTGCTCGCTGCCATCACTACCTCCACGGGCAGTGAACTAGTGAACTGCAGAGCTTGTTCACACGCGGAGCGAACAAAGTATTTCCTTTTGCCTGTCCTGAATTCGTTGCCCATCAACTTCGTTGGGTGCCCCCACGCTCTGGTATTATGGGGGGGGGGAGAGAAGCTCTCTTGCCTCTCCCCATGCATAATTTCATAAATCTCTACCACATCCCCCCCAACTTAGTCTCATAACTCAAGGGGGGGGGGGAACAACCCTTACAAGTTCGTTTCAGGAAGTCAGCCATGTTGGTCTGCAGTAGAAGAGCTGGATTCAAGTCCCGTAGTACCTTAAGTGACCAACAAGATTTTCGGGGTATTTGCTTTTGAGAGTCAAAGCTCCCTTCTAACGAAGGGAGGACTCTCAAAAGCAACCCCCCCCCCCCGGCCCTGACCTGGATAGCCCAGGCAAGCCCGATCTCATCAGATCTCGGAAGCTAAGCAGGGCCAATCCTGGCAAGTATTTGGATGGGAGACCTCCAAGGAATACCAGGGCTGGGAGGCAGAGGCAGGCTATCAAGCCACTTCTCTGAACACCCTCCATGCCCCAGTAGGCGTCGCCAGAGGTCACCATGACTTCCAGGCATGGGCACACACACAGTGCAAAAAAAATACCCCCTCCCAAAAGCACACACCCTGAAAATCTTGTGGGTCGCTATGGTGCTCCTGAACGCGAACCTAGCCCTTGCAAGTGACACTGCAGGTAAAATCCACAACACATGTGGCAGGCCCAGAAACAAGAGCTTTGGGGGTCTGCTCCAGCTCACAGGCTGTTCGCCACCTTACTGGCTTTTCCCACCTTCCTCTCCCTTGGAAAGTGAGTCATCTCAGAATGCTGGCGCCTTGGGGGAACATTACAGATGAGCCTGGTGCTCCCGTGCCCCTCCTGCGCAGCTCTCGCTCCTTACCAGCCATGCCCTTTGTCTCGATAATGTTTTCGGCAGCATTAGTCACAGCCTGGTTCACCACCTCCTTCCGGACCTCATTCATCCTCCGTGAGCTCAGAGCTCTCCTCTGCTTGCTGGTCCCGAAGGCCTCGATGCACAGATCCACCTGCACAAAAGGGGGTGAGAGATTACAGCACCGCTCCCCAAGAGGCTATTCGCCATGGGATCTCTTGCGGGGAAGTTTTGTCTTGTAGGAAAAGTCAAGGCAGGGAACAAAAACACAAGGAGCTAATAATAGCCCTCAAGTTTCCACCCACTGAAGTCAACAGAATCAAGTGAAGATAACTAGGGAGTAAATTGTTCCAAGGACGTCATCAAAAACATCTTTCTGGGAAATCAAACACAACACATCCACTATCTTTATAGCTGGATTACCTGATACAGAAAACAGCTATTCAGTTGTAATGAAACTCAGTGATTGCTCTTTGGTGAACAACAATGTTGACCAGCCCGTGCCAGAAGAGTTTAATTCACTAAAAACAAATGGGGCAAGAGATTATTGGTTTACGAGCCAAGAACATCTAATGACACTGACTTCCATTTCAACTTTAGGGCCAAGGGCTGGATTGAGATTCTAGCTCTGTGGGAGGCTGGGTCAATTGGCTGAGCAAAGACTGTTAAACAAAGAACTTCCCAGAAACCAAAAACGTTTGTGGAAGTAGTAGCTTTTTAACTGGATCGTACTGTCCAATTGCAAAGGTAGGAAGGAGGGCTCCTTGCTCTCCCAACCCACAAGATCCTGGTTTATGTACACACCCACGCACAAAATCAGGGGAGATGTCACTACCATGCACTATAACAAAAATCACGCTTCAAAAACGCCCTGTCTTGGTAACATCTCCCCATTCCTGCTTCTGTGGCTTTTAATTGCCAGTATAGGTAACTGCTATGGGTGGACAATTCACACATCTGATGAAGGGAGTGCTAACTTGAGACAGTTTATGCTGGAATAAATTTTGCTAAGGCGTCACTCATTAATTTCAGATGATCCCTGATCGTCCATGCAGGATAAAGAACCAAGAAAAATGAAACCATCTCTAGAGTCATTGTCACATACATTTATGGTTTTCATTGCTCATTCCCAAAAAAATAATGAGATGGAAATAATCTAGAATTCAATTTCACAAAAACTCAGTTGGGTTTTTGTAATTAGTGCAAGTCTCTCATTCGCAGTTCTGCAGAAAGCCAGTGTGGTGTAGTGGTTAAAAGTGTCAGGCTAGTATCTGGGAGACATAGGCCCTGGTCACACGGAAGGTTTTGGGCCGGGAGAGGGACGGATCGGGGCGCAGCAAACGGGCGTGATCTCACCGCAACATCTGGGAAGCGGCGCGCACCTGTCCCCGATCCGGCCCTTCAGGCTGAAAACCTGCTGCAAAAAAGAACCACCCCTAGAGGTGGACTTACCAGAAAGGCGCGGCAAGCGTGGCCATGGGATCGCCAGCACGTCCTTCTGCTGGCTCATCCAAGGCTCTTGGCTGAACTGCGCATGCTCACACATGCGCAGTTCGGCAGCCTCCCTCTCTGTTTCGTGGCTTTCCCCCCGGCATCTGATTGTGCCGGGGAGCAAGTGCGTGGCGGCTCACGGGATCTGTGTGATCCCGCCGCCGCGTATCTATTTTGCTGCGGCTTTCAAAAGCCGCACTTTGCCCACGCTTCCCCCCCCCCCGGTGTGCTAGGGGGCCTAGCTTCAAATCCCCATATATGGGAAACTCACTGGGTGACCTTGGGCCATTCACACTCTAGGCTTCACCTACTTCACAGGGTTGTTGTGAGGATAAAATGGAGGAGAGGAGAATGATGTCAGCTGCTTTGGGTCCCCATGGGGGAGAAAGGTGGGGTATAATGAAGTAAATAAATAGATAAAAAGGATTACTAATTCTTGACTGGAGAGCTAACCAAGTTCATTTTTCTTTTAATGGCCAGAAATCCAGCTATAGTTAGAACCACAGAGGCAAGACGTTTTCATCAATCAACTTCCAGTACAGCCCTGCCAAGATGGGATTTGCAGTGAAAGCCCACAAGGGACACTTGCGCTAAAGAAAGGAGGGAAGAAAATGGATAACCCTCCACATCAATTACACTCCTGCGATCACCAAGTCCATAAGTACAAAAATAAGCAGCTAGATTATTATCATCATATGACATTGTATAGTATAGCCAGGAGATCCTAAGATTATCTGGCATCTACAAGTTCTAGCTCTTTTAGTGCAGGGGTGGCCAAACTGCGGCTTGGGAAGTGAAGGGGAGGCATGCTTTTCCTCCCCCTCCCTCCTTCCCTCCCATCTATTTACTTTCTTTGTTTCTCTCTCTCTTTCTTTCCACCTCATTCCTTCTTTCTTTTCACCTCTCTCTCTCTCAGACAAATAAATATCATTAGCAAACAAATATCATCGGACAAATAAATATCATTATCAATATCTGTTTTACCCCTTTTGTTTTTATTTTTGGCAGACTCGTGTAATGTTAATAAAAAGCAAATCTGCATATTTTTCAATAAAAATGTGTGTGTAATATTTGTTCATGTCTTGCGGCTCTCAAACATCTGACATTTATTCTATGTGGCTCTTACATTGAGCAAGTTTGGCCACCCCAGTTTTAGTGTTATGCACCACTATGTGGTGAGCTAGACTTATTTTGAAGGCAAGAGACATTTCAGAGGTGGTTTGCCATTGCCTGCCTCTGTCATGACCCTAGTATTCCTTGGAAGCCGCCCTTCCAAGGACTTGCCAGGGCCAGCTCTGCTTAGCTTCTGAGAGCTGACGAGATTGGGTTTGCCTGGGCTATCCAGATCAGGGCATGCAGAACAGTAAATGGGAAAAAATAGTGCCATATCTTTGCTGAAACAAGGTGTGAAGCTCTACTAGACGTTTACAGTGTAAACCATTGCCTAAGAAGAGCCCTAAATAGACAACATAAATAAACAAACAAACAACATAATGGTTGGTTTACAAGTTGTACCTTCTCCCTGTAGGTTTTGTTCAAATATTCTGACAGGTCTTCATCTCCTGCATCATCTGTTAAAAGGAGAAAACAAAAAGATCTATAGCAAGAAGCACACTCAATCATAATCACGGAAGAGGCAGTTAAGCATAGAAAAAGCAAATATCACAACTGCTGCAAGTTTTTTGCTTTCCTCTGGGCATAGAGCAGGGGTCACTGGGGGAATGAGGGGTGGGGGTGGGAGGTAGTTGTTAATTTCCAGCTGTGCAGGGGTTTGGACTAGATGACTCTTGAGGTGCCTTCCAGCTATATGTTTCTATGCCTGTGCAGAGTATAAAGCCTGGCTCTCAATGAACTTCTCTAAGATCCTATTGATACAAAACCTCCCTCACTCACCTGAAACCAATGGCTGCATGTGGAATAACTCTGCATTGTAGACTTCCATTTCTCCAGAGTCCTTGTCAAGCACCCCGACAAAGTATCTAAGGGAACAGATAACACCAACAGCCATTTTCTTATTTTCCAACATTTTTTTGGAATAGCTGGCTAAACTGCTTGTAGTTAGTCCCGTAAATGCTTTCCCCACGTACTAGTTATCTTTCCTTTTTTAAAATCAATTTTATTAGAATTGACGTGTCTTCATGTTATTTCTATTTTTTTAAAATAAGCAGCCGCTTATTTTTTTTTTTAACAGCAAGCCGCCTTTCTAGGACAAAAGCCAGGCTAAAAACCTTAGAAATATATGAATGACAACTGGCATGCTATAAACAATAGGAGCAGCAACAAAAACTACTGGATAAATATGTGCAGGGTGCCTGCCTGGTGATGTAGCCATACACTAAACCAGGGGTTCCCAACATGGTGCTCGGTAGCACCTTTACTGGCACCCGTCAAGTGCTTCTAGGCGATGGGCTGGGCTAGGTGGGGATTTTTCTGCACCTGAAAGGGCATCCTAGGGCCCTGACCTGGATAGCCAGGCAAGGCCGATCTTGTCAGATCTCAGAAGCTAAGCAGGGTCAACTCTGGCAAGTATTTGGATGGGAGGCCTCCTTGGAATACCAGCAGTTGGGAGGACAGAGGCAGGCTTTATTCAGCCACCTCTCTGCATATCCAAGAAGATACCTGGTATCTGATGACAGGGGCTTTGACTCTAGAAAGCTCATATACCCAAAATCTTCTTGGTCTCTAAGGAGCTACTGGACTCAATTCTAACAGTTCTAATGAAGGCCAACACTAGTACCCTCTGAAACTATGTTAAAGTGTGGAAACAAATTCCAAATGGCTACCCCACGCCAAATCCTACTTGTACATTTAATTAGAAGTGCTGGCAGTCTGAAGAAAGCGAAATGATTTACTCGTGTGTGTGCAGTTTAGACACAGACCTACCGGCACAGAGTGTTGCATTTCAGGGATCCTGAGCCAAAATTATTTCCTACATACGAAAGCCTGTCGGTCTCTGCATTCTAAAGAAGACAAAAGAAAAGGAAAGCTGAGGTATGGAACCTGGCAGCCCAGAGAGAAGCAGGGTATTACATAATGGCTTAAATCCTCCCCAGGGATTCACCCTCCTTAGAACAGGCAATCAATAGCTTCAAGCCCATAAAGGCCACTGTAAAGGAAATGTGCTGTTGCCTGATCAGGTAGACATTGTGTGATTTTCCTGTCCTTCAAAACAGAAGAAAAAAAGTAGGCCTTTATACTCCACTTTCCTCTACCTCAAGGAGTCTCAAAGTAGCTTAAAATCATCTTCCCTTCCTCTCCCCAGAACAGACACCTTGTGCGGTAGGTGGGGCTGAGAGAGTTCTGAGGGAACGGTGACTGGCCCAAGGTCCCCCAGCAGGCTTCATGTGGCAGAGCGGGGAACTGAACTAGGTTCTCCAGATTAGAGTCTGCTGCTCTTAACTATTACACCACACTGGCAGTTACTGAAAGAACAATCCATAGCAGTTCTCCTCAGAACCTTCCCTCAGATCTCCCTGACGAGGCTTAGTCCCAGGAAAGTGTCCTTGGGATTGCACTGGTCATCTAGCCAGCAGAAGTTTTTTTTACCTATTTATTTATTTTTACTTCATTTATACTCTTTCTACCCAAAGTGGCTTACATTCTCCTCTCCTCCATTTTATCCTCGCAACAAGTCCATTATGGTAGGTCAGGCTGAGTGTGTGTGACTGGGACCAGGTCATCGAGCAAGATGCCAGGGCAGAGTGGGGATTTGACTTTGGCTCTCCCAGATCCTAGTTCAGCACAGGGTTGTCAAGTCCTTTTCTTCTGCCGGCAGAGGGTGGGAGGGACGATGCCACTGCGCACGAAGCCCCTGGCATGATGACATCTCACAGAAGTGATGTCATCATGTTGGGGACGCCGCCCCTGGCTGCGGCTGTTGGGGCCGGGACTTCCCCCCACCGGCCAGCTGGCGGACTGGAGCCTGTGAAATCAGGGGATCCCCCACTCCCACCTCGGGGCTGGCAACCCTAGTCCAGCACTCTAACCACTTCACCACGCTGGCTATACAACTGCACATTAAAGGGGAGGAAACCGGGGTAGCACGGCCATCCCCAAATCCCTGGTGACATTCCTTGACGTGGGTTCTGCCTATGGGCTGCCAGTTCCTGACTGTTACTTCAAAATTATACACAGAAACACGCACGCGCGCACACACTTCTTTTAAAATCCCATAAAATAGCATCAGCAATCAAAGTGTGTGTTTTGTGCACATTGGAGCTATTGACTAGGTGCTCACAGGACCCACACTGGGATGCTGCATGATCTCTGGTTTCAGGAGAAAGGGATTAGAGAGCGCATCATCCAAGCAAGGGCCATTTCAAACCCACCTATGGAATTCCATCTGAGACATCCTTGCTCCTCTGTACTTCTAACAGCAACAACTTGGAGATGGTGCAACTGTGCTTGGGAGTAGATGGGTCATCATTAGGTGTGTTTTCATTGATCCGCAGATAAATGGTGGAGGCAGGATGAGCTAATCAGATGAGGGGGACACAGGTGAGCTCAGGGGAGGGGCCGTGGCTCACTGGCAGAGCATCTGCTTGACATGCAGAAGGTCCCTGCTGCAATCCCTAGCCTCTCCAGCTAAAGAGGACAAGGCAGTAGGTGATATGAAAGACCTCTGCCTGAGATACTGGAGAACTGCGGTCAGTTTGAGTGGACAATGCTGACCATGATGGACCCAGGGTCTGATTCAGTGTAAGGCAGCTCCATATGTTCAACTATAGCCGATACATCCTCCTTAGCGACAGCTAAAGTACTGGGAACAGAGGTAGGGAGAAGAATTAAAACTATTATTTTTAAAATGTCTTTCTGAAAGATGTCACTCTGCCTCAGCTTTAGTTCAAGATGGGAAGCCGTGTTAGCCTGTCCATAGCAGCAGAAAAGAGCAAGAGTCCAGTAGCACCTTAAAGACTAACAAAATATGTGGCAAGGTATGCTCACCACTCAGAGATGCCGACATACGTTTCATAAACTGCGTGGTGCACTAAGCATAGTGTTTGCCATATAGTGATTTCAGGTTTAATCTGATGACTGGGGAGCTCCTATCATGCTCTCATGTGACAGAGTCTACAATGTGAGGGAAGCTGAGCCAAATATCACATTGTAGACTCTGTCACATGAGAGCATGATAGGAGCTCCCCAGTCACCAGATTAAACGTGATAACGTATATAGTGATTTCAGGGCAGGGCAAGCCAGCCCCCCCAGGCAAATTAGGCAACTGCCCAGGCAGGATGCAACCAATCTCGAAGGAGAGGCCTCAGCTATAAAACCTCTGGGGAAATATAAGGTTGGAACCAACAATCAATCTGTGGAAGATGCTGGTCGCTGAAGAACCTTCCCATGTTTCCCTTCCCAGCTCCTGGAACGTTTGTTTATTCCTGGGGACTGCAGGACCCATGTGGATTAACAGCCACACGAGTAGGGAGGCTGGAGGAGAGAAGGGGCCGAAACTGCCTTTCTGCCTCTTCCATCAATGCAGATCTCTTGAGAAAGAGGTGTGAGTTTGTTTCCTTCCCCCTCCCCAATGCAGCCTCCCAGCCTACATAGCTTTAATCCACGGAGGTCTGGAAACCCCAGGATATAAAATGTTGGGAGGTGGACGACGACAGGGGAATGTGGGAAAGATCTGCAATCCTTGAGTCCAAGGGTTGTTGGATACCACCTACAGAGCTGCTGTCTGCACTTCTGGAAGAAAAACCCAGAGAAAGAAAGTTTAGCAGCTTCTCAGCTGGTTGATAGATATCTCGCATTCTGGGGGGCAGGATCAGAGGTCTTCTGACCTCACGCACCGGAGCCTTATATAAACGTCCCCAAACTTAATAAAGGGAAAACAGGTTGTACAAGCACTAAGATGAATACAGCAAGAAATACCCAGTCCAAAGAGACTTAAGAAGAGGCCATGGTGAGAACTAAATTCCTTACCAAAATCCTTTTGTGCTTCTTTCTGGGATTACTGGTATCTTGGCTCTTGTACAAGGTGAAGTTCATATCGTCACAACTCTTAAGTTTCCCATTCGTAAACTGAACTATAACAGAACAAGGAACCAAAACCAGTCAGAAAAAGTACAGGACAAATAGGTTCCGGCTATGACCATGGAAGCATCTTCGGACAGCGCTGGCTCTTCGGCTTGGAAACGGCAATGAGCACCACACCCTAGAGTCGGATTCGACTGGCTTACTGAGCTATTTGGGCTGAAATTAGTGCCAGGAAGACCACTGAGTCTGCATCTGTCCATGGATGGATGTTGCTGTAGCACTGGGACAGCGCAATCATCCGCAACTGGATTTCTGCTGAGTGAACATTCCAGAGCAGTTGCAAAACTATTGCTACCAGGCAACAGTATTGCAATAGCCAATTATGAATGCAACACAGCTTTCATTCACGGAACCTTCATTTTCCAGGGATCTGGTTCTCAGCAGAAGTGGCACCTGCTTGGAAAATTCAGTGTCCAGTTCACACAAGACGCCAACATGCGCGGATTATACGCGCAGCTGGCGGGCTTCCATTTCCCGTGATTTGCTGAGGGTTACTCTCGTTCCCTAATACGGTTCCAAACAGGTACCGGGAAGAACCGGAGCTGGGCTGAGGATTGTGTCCATCGCTCCACACCCGGTAAAACATTGCGCTATCCTTATGCTACAGCAATGTTTGCAACCTGAGTCTCCTGTGTGCACAAACCAATCCAGGGGATGAAGGACAACACACAAGATCCAACCACGTGCGGATCAGGCCTCAAGCTAAGCGCTGCCCGTGCCGCGGATTCTACGTACCGCCCCTTCCCGAATCCAAGTTTACCGGCAACCTCATCTGCCGTTACCAAGAATTGTTCCCGGAGCAAATGCCTTTCCGAGTCAATTACTCCGGCGACCCTTTTCTCCCACAACATTTCGGGCGGCGGGGGGGAGCATTTCATTGACTCAGCTGCCCAATATCATTGCCAGGTTGCCCAAACTAAAGAGCCACGTGGAGCAAAAGAAAACCGGGAGATTCACCGCACGGCTGAAAGCCGCTTGCAGAACGCCAAAGCCAGCCTGAACCCCCCCCCCCGCAGCAGCATCCAACGCCGACTCATGCCGACTCCGAGTTCTTACCGAGCGGTGCGCTCTGCCCCTTCTGGGGGTCCCCCCGATAGCACCAGCGGGCCTCCAGCGCCATGGCCAAGCGTGCAGCAAGTCCCCCGGTCCGCCTGCAAGGGATACCCGGGAAGGGGAGGAGTTTCTACGCTGCTGGATCCGGAGCAAGCCTCTTTCGTTCAGCACCGCTCGCGTAAACCTCTCCTGCCCCCTGCAGGCAAGAATCGGGCACTGAATAGGTGGGCTTGGGAGATCGTGACAACCCTTCCCAGGAAAGTAGTGGGGACACTCCTGGCATTGGTGGGACATTCCTGAACTTGGGCTTGTACACCCACTGTGTCTCAGCTTCTCACCTACCTCACAGGGTTGTTGTGTGGCTAAAATAATAAAGAAGACTGGATATGCCTTCCTGAGCACCTTGGTGTGGGTGTTGGTTTTTTTTTTAAAGTACTAGATGGATTGTCTAGCTCACTGGTTCCCAAAGTGGGCAATACTGCCCCCTTGGGGGTGCTGGAATGATCCAGGTGTGCTGGAACGATCCAGGTGCAGATCCATAAACTGCATCTTTTTGTCCACTTCTTCAAGGTAGATGTCCATTGGGGGGGGGGGCGCTGAGTAATTTTTTCCCTAAAAATGGGGCGGTAAGCCAAATAAGTTTCGGATGGTGTTTCTTTTGCATGTTTCACTGGAGCAACAAGAGTTCTGAAGCAGAGTTGCCACCCTCCCAGAATTACAGCTGTTGGGGATGAAAACTGTGTAATAAATGTGTCTATGTATTTTCAAACATCTAGGGCTTTTCAAATCTCACATGGTATTCAAGGCAGTAACACAGCCAACCATAAAACAACTACAACACCAATAAAATATACAATAAAGGGGGGGGCAGAGTCAGCACGATTTATTTATTTATTTATTAGATTTTTTTTGCCACGATTGCCATTCTCTTCACCACCAAAAAGCTCTTGGAAGAGAAGTCCATAACTAGAAGTCTCCAATGGAGGCTGAACATGAAGCAAGGTGAACTCTGCTTTCTAATGTGAGCTTTTTGCACAAGCTTTGTGAATGCACAAGCTTTGTGAATGCTTTTTGCACAAGCTTTGAAGCACTTAAAAAAAAAAAACTCATTTGTCCTCTATTTAAAGTGCATGATGCCCCCCAATGGCAATTCCAAAAGCATTTTAAGAATTCCAGAGGATTTGTATTACAATGCAGTCTCCTAAGCAGAGTTACACCATTCTGAGCTTCAGATAAGTAGCCGTATTGGCCTGAAGCAGCAGAACAAAGTTTGAGTCCAGTGGCACCTTTAAGACTGACAAAGTCTTATTCTGGATAGAAGCTTTCGTGTGCCATGCACACTTCTTCAGAAGAAGCGTGCAGGCAAATTAAACCTTGTACCCAAAATAAAACTGGTCTTAATGGTGCCAGTAGACTCAACCTTTGTTCTACCCTTTTGAGCTTGTTGACTTTCAATGGACTAGTTTGGCCCTTTGAAAGGTAAATCTGCATATGACTGTGCTGACTATTACAGAAACTACAAACAAGGAATCTTGTGGCATCCTAAAGGCTAAGGCAAGACTCGCTGGAAAAGACGATAATGCTAGTAAAAGTTGATGGCAGTAGGAAAAGAGGAACACACAGCCTGAGATGGATTGACTCTCTAAAAGAAGCCACAGCTCTCAGTTTGCAAGGCCTGAGCAAGGCTTGATGAGCAGGTCTGAGGAAGTGTGCATGCACATGAGAGCTCACACCTTGAATAAAACTTTGTTCATCTTAAAGGTGCCACTGGACTCGAACTTTGTTCTTGAGCAAGACTATTAATGATAGGACTTTTGGGAGGTCATTAATTCATAAAGGTAAAGGTTTCCCTTGCTCATCTCCGTTTCAAAGCCGAAGAGCCAGCGCTGTCCGAAGATGTTTCCGTGGTCATGTGGCCGGCATGACTAAACACCAAGGTGCACAGAACACTGTTACCTTCCCACCGAAGCGGTACCTATTTATCTACTTGCAATTTCTTGCTTTCGAACTGCTGGGTTGGCAGGAGCTGAAACCAGAGACGGGAGCTCACACGGCACTGGGGTCTCGAACTGCTGAACCACCACCCTAAGTCAAGAGTGACTTGACAGCAGGTGACATACAAAGGCTAACACATTTCAGTTCTAGTATAAATGGAGTCCGATTGGTCTGACACATGAGGTGGAACCAGCTTCACCTGGTATCAGTGAACTTGGCTCTGGGCCATGAGCTAAAATACACAAAATTCTGAAGTCATAGCACACGGATAAGAATCTGTGCTGGCTTTAGTCCAGCAACTTCTGCACATAAAAGGCAGTTCCTTCTCAGCTGGCCAGTCAACATATCTAGGTCAAAAGCTAATCCAAACAGGCAGCCAGAATTTATAAGTAATCTCTGTATGTTTCACGGGGCTAGTAGTGAGGTAAACAAGCTTGAAGGGTAATTGAAAAGGTTGCATAGAAGGTAGCCCTAAAGTTAGCCTTTTACACCCATTAAGTTCAGTGGCTTTAGATGGGTGTAACTCTCTTTAGGAATGCAGTGTTTTGCACTGTATCACTGCATCTGAAGGGAGTGGGCATTAGTCCAGGAACGCTCATGTTGGAATAACATTTTATTCCTCTTTACAGTGCCACAAGACTCTTCTTGTATGTAATCAACGTGTATGGCTATTATATGCATCACCGTGTCTAATATGCTATGGTTATTCAGCTATCTCTAGTCCTAGGCTATTGCTTATTAGATAGTTTCAGAGGGCAGCTGTATTGGTCTGCAGTAGAACAGCTAGACTGGCGACCAGTAGCACCTTAGAGACCAACAAGATTTTCAGGGTCTAAGCTTTCGAGCTTCCCCATGCTTTGACACCAGAAAGCTTACCCCCTGAAAATGTTCTTGGTTTCTAAGGAGCTACTGGACTCAAATCATCTAACTGCTTATCAAATGAAGACAGATTCAGGTGGGTCTGAAGCAGCAGAACAACGTGTGAGTCCAGCGGCACCTTTAAGACCGACAAAGTTTATTCAAGGTGTAAGCTTTCGCGTGCGTGCATACTTCTTCAGACACAGTGAATAACACTTTGTTGGTCTTAAAGGTGCCGCTGGACTCGAACATTGTTCCGCTTATCAAATGTTTCTTCATGCTGATTTTATCTATTAAACATAAATAAATATTAGCTTGCTCCCAACTCTTAAAAAAGCCGCACACTACTTCGCATACTATATGCATTTTGGAGTTTTCGAATTTTTAAGCCGACTCAAGTTCCTAGAAATGCAGAAATGCTTTACGCAGCCTGGCCAGTTTTCGATCATGAGAGGCGCTATCGGCGCCGTTCCTTCCCCTAAAATCTTTCTCGTTGGTCTTAGGACGCCTGTCCAATCAGTGAGCAGTTTGTTGTGTAATCCCACCCTCTTACCTGCATGTAGCCAATAAGTTTCTATCAGCTCCCGAGGCATAGAAAGATCTGACTAGAGGAGAATTCTGGCTTTCAAGAGGACTCAGGGAACGGTGTATTGGCTGCCAGTCAAATGGCGTCATTTCCGCCTGCCGGCTCTAAGGGCGCTAGAGGACCGCACTGCTTGGCGAAGATTGAGCCCGCCCCCTAAAGGAGCGGAAGAAAGGGCAAACGGACGCAACCGGAGCCGAGGACAACGGCTGCCCCTCCCTCCCGGTGACACGGGTGAGCGGGACGGGAGGGGGGGAGAGAAAAAACCCTATCATCTTCCCCAACCCCCATAGCGCAGGTGAGGCACGCGCGCCGTAAACACGAGACCGAAGAGGGGGACGCGCGCGGTGATTGGATAATGATATTCGAGTGTCCGTTGGGAGCGCGCGGGTAAGGGGGCGTGGCAGGCGGTGCTGGGCGCGCTGCTTTGTGATTGGCTGCGGGGCGCGAGATGGGGACGATGGGGGGGGGGACTGAGGCGATGCCGTTTAGATGACCGGGCGACGGGGAGGTCCCCGTGAACGCGAGAGCGCCCCCCCCCCCCCCCACTCCGACTGAGCGGCGGGTAGGTTAAAAGAGCGAGTGCGGTCGCGCGCGCACCTCGACGGTGGCGATAGAAGACGTTCCAAGCGAGCGAGCGTGCGCGCGACGGTAGCTGGCGGAGGTGTCGGCTGGCTGCTTGCCTCTCCCTCTAGCTCGTGGGGCTGGACGGGGGAAGGGGGGGGTTGGGTTGCTCCTTGCAACTGCGCATGCCCCATGGTGGTCCGAGGGGCGTTGTGGTTCTGTGACAAACGCCTGACTGGACTGTTAACGAAGGAAGAGAGGGAGGGGGTGCTCCTGCCACGCCCACTTGGCTCCCGGTGAGGGCGGGGCATGGACTGGTGAGTGGGGGGGGGAGATCTCCTCAGGGGGCAAAGTTGAGAGGTGGGCGGCGGGGGGGGGGGCTTTATTGGAAGGCTGAACAACCCAAGCAGGGAAGGGAACCGGGATGGGCGGGCGGGCTTCTTGCCTTAACACAGCAATTAAACTTACTCTTCTTTTTAGTTCACTTTTATTTATAAGCCGTTTTACTTACGGCCCCCGAATCAAAGTACAATTAAACCACTTCAGCCCTGCGAACACATTATAGTGAATGTTTGTGCGATTTGCATGCACATGAATGTTCTTTGTGCAGCTGTTGAGTGATCCTATATTCTACCTGTGCCTTGCTGAGCATGTCTTTTTAAAACCCCACAGGCATCCAAGTTCTGGTTCTTCGGTTTTATTTTGAAAGTGGACATATGTTGGTCAATGCTGCCTCTGAGCTGTGGAGTCTTGTGAGCAAAAACTCTACTTTGTGAGCTAGTGGCATTAAAGTTGTGAGCGAGCAATATGGCCACTGCATAAATTAGTTTGCTCTGGAGCCATCCTTCCTGAGCTAAGACGAAAATGTACGAGCCAGAGGCTAAAAAATTGTGAGTTAGCGCACACTAACACAGTTTAGAAGGAAAACTGATGTTGGTGCATTCTTACCAGCAGCTGTACATGTGTATATACAGGGTGTATGTGTGTTCGCGATAACGTGTACAGGGCTTTTGTGTTTATTAAACGGAAACTCAGAAACCTTGTTCATGGTTGCTTTTGTCAATTATCACACAGTTAATTTCCAGTTTGGCCATATGATCTTACCTGCTTTTTCCAGTCTGGCTGCCCTGTATCACCTCTCAAGACAAGGTGGTACTGAAGTGGCCCTGTTGAAAGCAGTGGAGTGGTCATTGTGACTAGACCTAGTGGGAGCCAAATGGCCTCACCAGGCCATTCTGGCTTCTCTCTTCAGGACAGTCCCTCATTTAGAATGTAGGAAGGGCCTTATTTTAAAGCAGAGTTGTCCAAAGGTGACTGTTTTAGTGGTGTAATTAGTAAATGTTAAGATGTTATATCGCTATCTGGATTGGTTTTAAATTATTATATATACTGACTGTATTTTAAATGTTTCTTACAATGGCTGTAAATCGCCCAGAGCCTGCTTGCAGGGTGGGCGATTAAAATTTTTAATGAAATAAATAAAATGTGTAAGGCCAGTACATTTTAGAGCAGGCTACATGAAGGACTTTTGTTGTTTGTCGTTGTTGCTTCCCAACCGATCTCTGGCATCTACCTTGGCTCTGCTCCTGAGCTGAAAAGTTCTATCCCAAGTCTGCATCCTAAGCCTGCTGCAACAGAATGAAAAGTGGAACAGAGTGTTCTTGAAAAATAGCATAAATATTTCACAGTAGTTATTATCAGATTCCTACAGGGCAGAATGAGAATTAGAACTATCTCAGGGTTTGTTATTTACATAACAAGAAAGGGGGGGGGATGTATTTGTGTGTTCATGAGGGACTAACTTTGGATCCTCCTCTGCAGTACTTCAGAAATATTACCTTCTACTTCAAAGGGGAAAGGAATCTTGCAGCACTTCGGGGCGAACTGCATTCAAGCATTGCTGTGGTTTCTCTCCTTCAGCTCCTTGCATCTGTGAGGGATAGAACTGGCCTATTAAATAGGCAGGGGTGGCCTTGTGCAAAAATAGCCTGGAGACCAGTCCTGAAACTCCTGCTTGACTTGGGGTCTTTGCAAGTATGGCTTTCAAAGAGCAGTAGCTTAAAAAGGTAAAGGTTCCCTTGCTCGAAAGCCAGTCGAATCCGACTCTAGGGTTGTGGTGCTCATCTCCATTTCAAAGCCGAAGAGCCAGCGCTGTCCAAAGACGTTTCCGTGGTCATGTGGCCGGCATGACTAAACACCAAGGCGCACGCTTACTGCTGTGTTAAATTCAGCTCTAAAGTCCTGTGTGGCCACTTCAGTTGGCCTTGAACGGTCCTTCGTCCCCAAGCTGAGAACAACACTAGTAGCCCTCCTACGTTCTCTTCCATTGAGCAAGCAAGGATACGTGATGCTGCTGTTGGAGAGAACACTCCACCTTCTCCCCCCCCCCAATGAGAACTAGTTATGCTCCATTCCAGAACTGTGCAGCCCCTTTCTTTTACTACTGCTTATCTGTTCATCAGTAAAGGGAAAATGGAATAGAGTATAAATGATCCTTTAGAGCAGCAGTTACTGGAATTAACTTGGATGTTTGCATTCATATGCAATTCTGTAAGAATTAAAGCTGCAGTGCTATCAAACAGCAGTGCTAGGAACAATGATAGAAGTATGAGAATCTCTGGTGCAGCCACTTCTGGAATGGTAGTATGTTCCTTGAAGCAAACAAGTGACAGAAAGGCTACTACTTTTAAATCAGCTTGTACAAAGAAGAGTTAAAAGTCTAGAGTCCCTAAATGAGTAGCTTATGATGTTGGGTGAGACCCTAGTGTTAAATTGTACTGGGTTAGACGGAGAGGTATCCAGTTTAAACAAGCGACATTAAATGTGTGATATGCAGTCTGCAAGAACATGATTGATCTCTAAAAACTTGCTGCCACCAATTACAGAATGTGATAATTGCAAATAGTGGAGATGGCTTAAGCATAGCTAATTCAGATAGCACTAGAAAAACCTGTTCACAGTAGCAATATTGTTTAGAATATTAACTGAGTATTATATCTTAAAAGCAAGAGGTGATTAAGTAGAACTATTGTGCTCATCTATTACTGTTTTCCTTTAAAGAGGTCCTGAACTCAAATAGGTTGGAGAACCAGATTGCCTTCCCAGCAGATGTCCAAAAACCACATCTACATTTTCCCTTCAAAACAGTGTCAGTTCCCAATGCACCAGTTAATTCCACCTCAGTTAGACACCAGAATTGGCTAGAGAGAGAGTGCTTCGTGCAGCTTTGAGAAATTGTCTGTTAAATGTTTATAGTATTTAATGATAAATTTATAAGCTTTATGTGTATAGTCTCCCTTAAATTCTGCCACAGGTACATGCAGTAATTTGCTGTGGCATGCAATGCGCACTCTAATGTAAAAGCAGTATATCAGGTTAAAGTTAAATAACTACCCAAAGCTGGAAGGACAACTAAATTATGTGAGAATTTTTTTTAAAGTATGGATAAGGTGCATGATTACTGATTATTTAACTGTGCTAAATCTATTGTAGGTCTTCATTATTAGCACTCAGTGTGCTGTCTTGCATTCTACAGCTATTCAAAAAGTACTTCCCTGTGTTATCTTGCTAAGAAACTATCATTGGTCAAGCATCTTAATGGTGTTTTTGGCAGATTTCCAGGTGTTAGTTGTTGGACAAATATTAAGTCTGTCTAAAATGGGGGGTGGAAGTAATGGGGTTCAAATAACAAGCTGTAGCAACATTAGGTTGACAAGCAAAAAGGACACAAATCACATTAAACTGTGGCCTAATAATATTAGCTATGACCAGAAGTGTCATCTTATACCAGAAAAATGACAACATAATCATACCTCCCTCAAAATGAAAGAGACTACTGTTGCTAGGTAGGGTGCTATTTAATGTTCCTGTACAATTGTCTCAATTGTCAGTCTATTTATTTGACCTCATATAATAGTAACAGGTGGCCCTTCCATGTAAATTTAAAAAAAGTGTCGGGGGATTACCCAAGACTAGGGTATATGTTCCTGTCTAGTCCCCAGGTCTGCAGAAAAACACAGAAAGCTGTATATAAGGGGTTGAATCCCCCCACTGCAAAGTAACTGACAAGGTCTCAGAATATACATATATGGGGGTGGGACTATGAAAAGGGGGGGTCAAGCAAGGTGAGGGGAAAACATAAGTGGGATGTTGAAAAGGGGGGAGGAAAATGTGGCTTAGGCAGATAAGGAAAGAAGCAGAGTGGGGGGGGTTTACCTGTGAGTCCCCTTCTGTGCACGTGTATACTTCTGTTTTATTTTTCTCCTTTAAAGGCATTGTAGAGCTTGAAAGAAGTCCATAACTGATCTGATTCATAAAATGTTATGTATGGTGTGCGTATGCATCTCATTTATCTGCTTCTATCTCATTGATCGGCCCTCATTGCCCCCCCCCCCCGAACCTTGGTGTATGTTTACCTCCTTTCTGTTTAAATGGTATTTTAGAATTTGGCAAGAGATGTGCCATCACTAACTGCTCACTTAAGAAAGCTTAGCTGCCCTTTTAAATAGGGATATGTACATTCTTATTCAAGAGATGGATGATTGCTTCTGTTCTCTATAGAATGGTGCTCAGAATGATGGCTTAGAAAGTGTGTGTTCTAAGACCAGGTTTGAACCCTTATTCCTTTGGGATGAAGTAATTCCAATCTCCTGGTACTTACTCTTCTAAAACTAATAATGTTCCAAGAAACCTAAGCAAACAATATTTTTGAGCGCTCTCAAGCATTAATCCAAACATTGTATTTTGTTGGCAAAAAGATTCAAAGACCTCACTAACTAGCAATTCAAAAAATAAGTGTTCAGTTACTGTACTTTGAGGCATTAAGAGTACTTCTCTCAGCTATGGCGATCTCGCCCTCTTCCCTCCCTCACATGCAGGATTTTCCTTTCTGTCTTAATTCTTACTGAGCAGCTCCATTATCTATTTTCTTCTTATTTGTTGCTTTATTTGATAGATAGACAGATGGACATATGCTGGCCCAGCCTAGGGAACTGAGGGAAGAGATAAAATCACCTTCTTATACTCTGCTTTTGAAATGGCACATGAGAGGCTTTTGAAATTTCAACATAAACAAAATATTTTATTTAACTTGGAGGAGAAAAGGTCAGGTGTAATCAGGTGTAGGATGTATGAAGTGAACATATAGTAAAACTGAGGTAACTTTGTATTCACTCAAACACTAGATAATTTGTTGCCAACAGTAAGTGTTTCTGCTATTCGGCGTGTTTAAAACTTTTAGGAGGGAGGCTTACTTTTCAGTTTCTTCTTAAACACTCAAGCATAAGTTTCTGAGTTTCACGAACACGTAAAGTTAAAAGGCAGGAACACACGACCAAGTTCCCAAAATCCTTCTTTATACATAAACCAGGGATCACTCCTTTCTTTAAGAGCTGTTTCCCTTTTTTGACTGTACAGGGATCACTTTTCTTTCCTAGAGGCTAGTTCCCTTTTGTGGCTTGAATGAGAATCCTCCTTGATCCACTCACTCTCTTAGCCTCCTTCTTCAGCTGTCAGTTTCCAACTGTCGGTTTGTAACTGTCTCTCAACAAAATTCCATTCAAAGAGCCAGTTTGGTGTAGTGGTTAAATGTGCGGACTCTAATCTCATGCCTCCACTTACAGCTGCTGGATGACCTTGGGCAAGCCATAGTTCTGTTAGAGCTGACCTTGAAAGGGCAGTTCTCTCAGAGCTCTCTCAGCCCCACCTACCTCACAGGGTGTCTGTTGTGGGGAGAGGAAGGGAAAGGAGTTTGTAAGCCGCTCTGAGACTCTGAGTGAAGGACGGGGTATCAATCCAATCTCCCCCCCCCCAAAAAAAAAAGGTTCTCAGACTCTGTTAGGCATCAGCTCTTGACAGTCTGTCACAGGTGTCCTTAAAGTCTTTCAGCAATTGGCATATTAACATCAATGTCCCCTGGGTCAGAGGTTTCCTTGAATGTCTGATTTTTAAAAGGAAGATCCTTCCTTTTATTATTTCCCGAGATGTGATTGCGTCTCCATTTTCTCAATGTATTTGGGTGGCTAACAATGTTCCCTCTAATTTATTTTTCCCAACTGAGCGGAAGCAGTTAACATCCTGAGCAGAATATAACTGCTGTAATCTTAAAGTGGGCAATGGGCAGTGCAAGACCCTGTGTGGCTCCAGATTGCTGCTGAGCGGGGCTTCCTGTGTTAATGAGCGGCCGCTCACGTGCACAGCTTAGAGGGAACACTGGCTGGCTAGTTTAGTTTATTCGTTATTGAAATGTAACCCAAACATATTATTCATCCCACCTACTGTTTGTGTACACTCCCCTCCCTTCTGAGTTTGTGTGGAAACCTGAGGGTTTTTCAAACTTCCAAAAGTAATCACTAAACTTGTAGAACAAAGTTTATGTCCAGTAGCACCTTTCAGACAACATAATTTTATTCAAGGGTGTAAGCTTTCATGTGCACACACACTTCTTCAGATACAATGAATTTCTTTGTATCTGAAGAAGTATGGGTGGACATGAAAGCTTACACCTTGAATAAAACTTTGCTGGTCTTAAAGGTGCCACCAGACTCAAACTTTGTTCTGCTGCTTCAGATCAACACGGCTACCCCCCTGAACCATTAAACTTGGAGGAACTTGAAATTATTTTTGACAGTGGTATCATTATAGCTGAGGAAACTTTCAAAAAATTTACAAGTGGATGCTTGTCTGTTACTTAAAACCAAAATTGCATAGTGGCATTATTACTCTGAATTATATCTTTAAGTGATCAAACTTTTTTGCTTACTTTAGGGAATTTTTACGACACAGTTGAAATGTATATGGGTGTGTGGGGTGTGTGTGTGGAGTAGTATAACTTTGGAAGCTGAACACTCTTGTTCTCTGCTCTTAGATTTGGAAGGTTCTCTTTAGAAGCATGAGAAGGTGCAAATATCTTAAAAGGTTGACTTTGTTTCCCATTGATGGCTTCTTCTCACCTCTAGCAGCCAGGAAAATATTTCTTCTTGGCATTGGAGATTTCAGTTTTGAATGAGAACACTTCGAATAAGTACATTCATGTTACGAGTAATAGATGTAATCTGGGTAGAAGTTGATGGCTGAAATCTCATCACTTCAGCAGGTTTCAGACACATGTCTGAAAGGCTGCCAAAAATCCCACTGAACAGAAGTAGTTTATCTCTTGAGATTATGCCCATGAGGCATGAATAGCATAAAGCATATATAAACATTGTTTCAAAATATGTTAATGCTAAACATTTCTTTGAATTCTCATACCATCTTCCTGTGGAGGGGTTATAACAAGGAAAGTCTGAGCAGATTTCAAAGGTTACCTTTCTTGACCCTGTATTGACTGGACATATTGCACACACAGCTGAATGCAGACAGTATTCTTACTTAAAACGTTTGTGCCAGCCAAACCTATTATTTACTTGAACGTGTGTTGAGTGTTCAGTTCTTTATACCAAAGATGCATTGTGTGATGAGAGAAGTAACCTGTTGTCATCTGCGGTGGTTGCCTAATGTTGTACTGCAGGGTCTGTTACTTTGAAGAAAGAGCCCAACTATTTGAGGTCCCAGTCTAATGTTAAAAATATCTATACCATACATATATGTCTGCAAAAGTCACTGTCCCGCTGACTGAACGAGGCATTGATCCTCCTGTGTAACATACTGCATTCAACCAAGTAAGACTTGGTCAGCCTAATCCAGCATTCTGTACTCTGCCTTTGGAAGGTCACAGGTGGCAGTCTTTCCCAGTTTGCCACCCAGGATCCTTCAAGTTAATGATATGGGGTGGTGTGGGGAGCTTATTCATGCAAAGCATGTGCTCTGCAATTGAGATGCCTCCTGCCTAAAAGCGTAAACACTCCTGTTCTGATTTATTTCACTGTTGTTGTTTTAGTTATATTTTTAATTGATTTTTCAAGACTGTTTCAACATTGTTTAACTCAGAAGGGTTACAGAAAAAAAGGAAATTTGATTCTACTATTTAACACTTTTTCAACACAGTAACACTCAGAAGGAGTACAGAAAGGTTGAAGTTTTGCATAAGCAGATTTAACAGTTAACTCAAAATGTTAATTTCAACTAGAATACAAACATTGATGACTTTTTTATGATTTACGGTACAATCAGAAGAAGCGTAAATTCCTATATATCGGGTTATATGGAATTACTGATCATAGGAAACCATTCTTGATATTTTTCCATCTGCAATGCTGATGAGTTATTTGAGGTCCGCCCATAAATGAAGCATTCCCAAATTTTCTTTTGCCAACATGTTAGTGTGGGGATATTTTTTTTGTTTCCGTTTATACTCTGGAAGAGCCCTGCAAATAAAGATTGGAAAGCTAGTTTTTGTCCCCCTCCCCTAGTTCAAGGACATTCCTTCTGCTCGTCTTCCCTACCTGCTATCACTTCCACTGGTCCTACTTCTAAAAGACAAGTGGCTGTGGCAGTTGATCCCTGTGTGTGTGTGTGTGCTGCCATACAGATGGGCAGTTGACCCCAATTCCACCCCTGCCTTGGTCTGGAGAGGACGAACCCTCTGGGCCACAGGGGACTGTGTCTGCTGTGTGTCTACGCCTACTTGCCTTTGGTGGTCCGATGGCTGGTAAACTGCAAAGCTATATTAGACTACCCTCTTCCCTGGGATAATCCTAGAATGTTCTCTTCAAAAGTTAGTATAGAAAAGTTTATTAACGAGCACTTCCAAACCTACCCCAAAGACCAACTTGTTCCTTGTTGGAACTTGTACAGACCTTGCTGAACTGCATGTCTCTGCAGCAGACCCTGTCATTAGCCAGAATTACTCCAGGTCTCTCTGTGTTGGATGGAGTAACTTGCCAAAGTATTTATGACTAAAGCAATGAATGATTTCTGTGGCTTTGTTATACTTTAGAAAATGGATATTATCTCAAGTGTGCTGAGAATTCACTTTTGTTTGGCAGGGTTCATCAGAACAATCATTTGATTGTTCAGTTGTTAACAATTCTTTACCCTGGGTATCTGCTGCACTTTCTCCCCTTCTACTTTCTTGCTCCCAGTAACCCCAAGTGTTTTATGTATAGGTATATACTTCAGCCCAGTCTCTTCTCATTCAGCACTAAGAAAACTGTGTTCTCGTGGCATAAGATTGGCATTTAAGTCACAGTCTAAATGGAACTTCCATTCTTTGTCTCATCTGCATTAATGTTCCTATGAACTAATCTTTTAGGATTAAGATTAGCTTCTTGTGGCCTTGAACACAAGTAGGGCAATTTCTGGTGTTTAACATGTTATTTTCTTTCTTTGCAGGATCATGGATTTCCCAGGGCACTTTGAGCAAATCTTCCAGCAACTAAATTATCAACGGCTTCACGGCCAACTTTGTGACTGTGTCATTGTAGTTGGGAACCGGCACTTCAAGGCACATCGATCGGTCTTGGCTGCATGCAGCACGCACTTTCGAGCCCTTTTCACTGTAGCGGAAGGAGATCAGACCATGAACATGATCCAGTTGGATAGCGAGGTGGTGACTGCCGAGGCCTTTGCTGCTCTCATTGATATGATGTACACCTCCACCCTCATGCTTGGAGAGAGTAACGTCATGGACGTGTTGCTAGCAGCTTCTCACCTGCATTTGAACTCTGTGGTGAAAGCATGCAAACACTACCTGACTACAAGGACTCTGCCAATGTCGCCACCCAGTGATAGAGTTCAGGAGCAGAATGCACGCATGCAGAGGTCCTTCATGCTTCAGCAGCTTGGACTAAGCATAGTGAGCTCGGCCTTAAACTCCACCCAAAGTACAGAGGATCAGGCAAGCTCTATGAGTTCATCAATCCGAAGTAACATAGAGCAACGGAGTACGTTTCCAATACGGCGTCTGCATAAACGCAAACAGTCTTCTGAAGAAAGGGCTAGGCAGCGCATCAGGCCTTCCATGGATGATTCTATTATGTCGGATGTTACTCCAGAGAGCGCCCAAGCAGTGGTTCATTCGCGAGATGAATTTTTTTCCCCAGACTCATTGAAAATTGTCGATAACTCTAAGCCAGATGGTGTAACTGACAACCAGGAAGACAATACCATCATGTTCGATCAGTCCTTCGGTGCTCAAGAAGATGCCCAAGTGCCCAGTCAGTCGGACAACGGTGGGGGAAATATTTCCCAGTTGTCCATGGCATCCCAGGCAACTCAAGTTGAAACTAGCTTTGACCAGGACACGGTCGCCCAGAAAAACAACTTTCAGTGTGAGAATGCTGAGGTTGGTCTGAGTGAAAAAGATCACATGAGAGTGGTGGTGAAATCTGAGCCTTTGAGTTCCCCAGAGCCCCAGGATGAAGTGAGCGACGTGACTTCCCAAGCCGAGGGCAGTGAATCTGTAGAAGTGGAAGGAGGAGGAGTAAATGCTGAAAAGATAGAACTGAGTCCCGAGAGTAGTGACCGTAGCTTTTCAGACCCCCAGTCTAGTACCGATAGGGTGGGAGACATCCATATCATGGAAGTCACAAATAACCTGGAGCACAAGTCCACCTTTAGTATTTCAAATTTCCTGAACAAGAGCAGAGCCAGCAGTTTTGGCACTAGCCAGAACGAGGATAACATTCCAAACACAACTAGTGACTGCCGAATGGATGGGGATGCCTCGTATTTAATTAGCCCAGAGTCTGGGCCCACTAACAGCCATTCCTCTGCGACAGTCTCTCACGTGGAGAATCCGTTCAGTGACAGTGCAGACTCTCATTTTGTCAGGCCTATGCAGGACGTAATGGGTCTTCCTTGTGTACAGACGTCTGGCTACCGGGGAGCAGAACAGTTTGGAATGGAGTTCCCGAGGTCTGGCTTGGGGTTGCATTCCTTATCAAGGGCCGTGATGGGCTCTTCCAGAGGTGGAGCAGGCGGCTTTCCGAGCTACCGCCGTATAGCTCCCAAAATGCCCGTGGTGACCTCTGTTCGGAGCTCTCAGTTACCGGACAATGCTCCCAATTCTCAGCTGCTAATGAATGGTGCCACTTCCTCTTTCGAAAACGGGCATCCTTCGCAGCCTGGCCCCCCACAGCTGACCAGGGCATCTGCTGACGTTCTTTCAAAATGCAAGAAGGCCTTATCCGAACATAACGTCTTGGTGGTAGAAGGGGCACGTAAGTACGCGTGCAAAATCTGCTGCAAGACATTTCTTACCTTAACAGACTGCAAGAAGCACATCCGTGTGCACACAGGAGAGAAACCGTACGCTTGCTTAAAGTGCGGCAAGAGGTTTAGTCAGTCGAGCCATTTGTATAAACATTCCAAAACTACTTGCCTACGCTGGCAAAGCAGCAATCTACCCAGCACTTTGCTTTAACTCCTTCCCTCCATCTCATGATGCCATTACGGATTTCACTAATGCATGGAGCACAGAAAAGTGAACACTTAAGTGTGATTGTGCCACACACAAAAAACAAAGGCTTAGCTCTTTTTAATACCAGTACCATACCTACCTCACAGGGGTGTTGTGAGGCTTAAACAACTTTTTAAGTAGCGCTTTGAAATTCTCCAGCTCCGTCACACAAGGATCCCATGCACACTTAGCAGTAAGGCCCATTGAATGGCATGGGACTTACTTCCGAGTAAGTGCAGACAGGAGTGAGCTGCACAAATTATATGGATACAATCCTCAGAATCATTAGTTCTTTGGTAGAAGAAAGGTTAAAAGAAGAAAAAGTGTAGCTAGCACGTAATTTAACTAGCACGTTTCAAGAATGAGAAACTGAAGTGCAAACTTTAAAAAAAATTTAAAATGTGAAAGCGTTTGTGTAAAATAAAGTTCCTACGTGGAGTGTGAGAGCAACATTATGGTTGAAGACTGCTTATCTTGAAGATGAAACCACCTTTGCACCTCAAAGTGCTTTGAAGTGTGCTATAGATTTAACATAGTTTAGGGGTTCTGAATGTATTTTCAGTTGTTTTGCAGTAACTTACACTGTGTAATGAAGGTGCTTACCTTGAGTCCAATGCAAGTAACTTTTTAGACTGTCTGATATGTATGTGTGTGTATATACTTTGAATACAGCAAAATCTAGATGTTTCATAGTTTTCTTTTTGTAAAATCTTGTACTGAATAAGTGAAGTGTGTGTTATGCTTGGTAGTGTTTCTAACCAATTTGTATTTCATGTGTTAAAACTCCTCATTAAGTCTTAAATGAAGTCTGCTGTTATTTCAAAAGTCAGATCTTAAACTTTTATTTTGCCACCTTCTGTCCTTTTTCAAATGTTGCTATTCAGTCTCATCTGAATTTATTGTGCAGACTGTTTATTAGAGATTACTTTTGTGGATTTAATGTGCATTTCCATACTCCTATGCACTAAAGTATTAAAATAGCAACTTGACTCATGTGCCAGTTTCGAGATGACTTTATGGAAGTGTGCTTTCCTTTGGAGAGGAAAAGACCTTGTTCAGCCAATTCCTGTATGACTGTAGCATTCACGCCAATCTGTGGTTGAGTCCTTTGTCTGAATGATGTTTTGAAACTGTGGAGTTTGAAGGATTTTTGGAGCACCTGCAGTTGTGAGTGCCTATTTCTTGTGCTGGGCCTATGATGACCAAGATTAGAAACATGCATCTGTATTAGAATGACATTGATAGAGAAGTTAGTGTAGTAGTGTCATGGATATTCCTTGTTTTGGAGTGAAGCTATCAGCAATGGAATACCATCAGTCCAGCATGGGTGGTCTTCGTGGCTGAGAGCTGGAAAGCACAATCGAAGCCCCTGTGGTTAGTGGAGATCAGGTTTCTTTGCTAACACACTGAGCAAAGAAAGGGAGAGTATGGTGCCAGTAGGCTTTTCTTAATGGATACTCAAGTCTTTCTACAGTTAAGGCTGGAAGTGGTTAAGATAGGCGCTTTACAAATAATTTAATGAAGTAATTATCGCACGGCAGTGGGTGTGGTGTAGCCAAGAGATCTGAAGATTATGTGGCAGCCTAAAACTTTATAGCTCTTTCTTTGATATAAGGTAGGTTTATTTTTTGGGCTGAGAGAACTGTGACTGATCCAAGGTCACCCAGCTGGCTTCAAGAGGAGGAGCGGGGAATCGAACCCAAGTCTCCAGATTAGGGTCTGCCGCTCTTAACCACTACACCAAACTGGCTAGTTTTTCTGAAGCAGAGTGGTGTAAAGAGGGGGGAGGGTTATGAGCAGTGTTTCCTCTAAGCTGAGTTAGTGTGAGCTAGCTCACAGTTTTTTAGCCTCCAGCTCACACATTTTTGTCTTCGCTCAGGAAGGATGGCTCCAGAGCAAACTATGCAGTAGCCAAATCACTTGTTCACAACTTTAATACCAGTAGCTCTCTCAAAGTAGAATTTTTGCTCACAAGACTCCACAGTTTACAGGGCACATTGGTTATGAGATGCAATCCTACTCATTATCTCCCTGCTTGTAAGCCTCACTGAACTCCCATGAAAATGGCTTCCATGTAAACATTCACACAGAATTGGACTGTAAGTTTGCTATATTCAGCCTGTGCTTTTAATAGCCTTGTTTCCAGTTTAACCCTGAGTGCCCAAAAAATGATTTGCTTGCACATTTTTCTGGTTAGGATCTAGTTGCTGCTTTCAGTATTTTGAATATTGCTCTTTAAAAACAGAGTAGATTAGAAGTAGCACCTTGTGATATGATACAGAAACTAGAACCTCCACTGTCATCTGAAGTGTTTTAATTAAAAGCACTGGGGGGTCAAGACAACAAGCAGTCCAAGTAACGGTTACGGTTGAATGCATACTCTCGGCCCCATTCAGGTATTCCTCCTCACAGACTGAGTTCAGAAGGCATACTTTCCCCTTTCAGCCCAGCCAGAAGATTGTTGGCAGCCAGCACCGACATGGTATTCCTGGTTGCATAGGTGGCACTTCCAATATGAGGCAAAATCACTGGTCAAGGAAACAGGAGGGGGGGGGGAGAGTTATCTTTAGACAACAAGCCAATGTTCCCAGTTAGTTTTAGTGTGTGGAATGCTGAAAAAGCTCCAGAATGCGGTACTGGATATAAAAATTGGAACACAACAAGCCTCCAGCCCTTACTGTAGTAAAGGTATACTTAAACGGTAGGAGGAAAATGACTATGGCTATTCAGAAGCCTGAGGAGGAGAACTCTCTTGCCTACACAGAAAGCCATATATAGCAATATCAAATACTACGGGGGGGGGGGTTAAGGGGGAGGGAAAAGCAGATCACAGGAACTTCTGACTGCATCCTAGGTAGAATAGAGGGCCAGATTTGAATAAAACAGTATACAGTAGAGTTCTAGTATACAGCTTTTGTTTTGAGGGGTTTGCTTTGGACCACAGTACTATCTGTGGCCTCCATTTTGGAAGTGTCCGAATCTTAACACCACAGCTGGGACTCTTCAGCTGAAAGAAAATGCCCTGGGAAGGTGTTCTGCTTGTACCCCTTTCACCACATGCATCATCTAAAATCCGGTTTTATTAATGTCGTCATGGTTTTATTAATGTCGTCATGACTATTGTGTTTTCCCTCTGCTGTTTGCCTTCCCAGATACATGTGTCTTCCTGTTTGGTGTTAGATGTTTGATCAGCTACTGGTTTTTATATTTTCAATTAGAGGTTGTCACACAAACGCACCCCTGCCTAAGGGAACAACCGAGTCCCAACTCCAGTCATTTCCATTTCATCTACTGAAATCTGCCTGACTTTCTAGCCAGGATGCATGCAGTAAGCCTTGAAACCACAACCTTAAACAGCTGCTTTTATCTACCCCAACCTGTAAAAACAGAACATATAGCAGAGAGAACCACACGCACACATTTTGCTGAAAGGCACGCTACCTCCAGCAGTTCTGTTTTCTTGGCTTCAGACTGAGAACTGTTTAAATGCAGAGTACGTACTCCAGGACTTCTTTCCTAGAAGAACACAGTGAGCCTTTCTCCTCATGTTCTCCCTTCCCTCCTACCCAGTGCAGCACAACAGAATAAACAGAACAATCATCACAGGCTTGCTGAATGCTTGGCAGCCACCAGTTTGTCCTCCAGGGATGGGTGTGCAGAAATATCTCTGCACAATTAAGACATCTTACCACAGTTCTTCAGAGAAAGGAGTGGATGGGCAGGAGGCAGTGGTTCTGGAGAGGTAACGTCTAGACCAGCGGCTGCAATGTGGCCCTTGACCAAAGCATCATAAAGGTCATCTTGATTCACCACAGCACCTCTGGCGGAACACAGCAAGAATACACAGCATGTTGCAGGTCAACGTGTCCCTCCAGAATTCCAGAGCAGGTCACTTTGTTACTCAGTTGCAGCAAGCGCACATACTTAAAATCCCGAAAACTATTATCCTTAAAGGAGCCACACACACAAAAAGACTCTACTGTCCCTCCACAATATTCTCAAAACAAGATGGCAGTAGAGGAACTGTTGATTTATCACTCACAAATTTCTGCTTAAGGGAATAGCTGTATGAGTGGTACTACATAGACTCTTAACAATCTGTGCTATTACTAACTGCAACACCCCTCCCTCCATTCTGATGTAAGCTGCCTTGAGTTCCTGTAAGAAAGGCAGCTAAAAACTTTTAAATTTTAAAAATTCCATTCCCACCCCCATCTTGGCCAGCACCACTGATCACCACAAGTTTCACAAAATCTCAAATGCAGTGAGTTTTCAGTTGAATCCATTCATACAGTCAAGTGTCAGCATGTACAGGGAAATGCATGTGTAAAATGGAGCTTCAGTCTTGATCCAGGCTACTCAAGTGACATTACGGTTGCCGCTTTTCCAGTTCTGTCCCTTATGCAAGGGCAAAAATTACCCAAGGGAGCCTCCATGCTAATATTTATGCCAGCAGAGAGATGGGGCACCAGTGTAGGAACATCTAACGCTTCCCACATTATTAGGACAGGAGTTAACACATGGAGAAGCAACAAGCAGTCAAAACCTTAGCTGAATATACAGTTCTCCCTGTGAAGCACCTGGCAGTGAAACTGATTAAGCATTAACCAAAGAATGCAACTTGTGATCTTCAAAAGCAAGCTCCTGGTACCACTGATGTGTGTGGCTGTGTCTCTTGGGTGTGGGAAGGCACGGTAGATGGCTTTAAAAGAGGGCCTAGATGGATTCATGGAGGAGAGTCCATCAACAGCTGCTAGCCATGGTGTGTAAAAGGAATATCTGTATACAGAGGCAGCAAACCTGGGAGGCACTGTTGGAAAGGCCTCTAGGGCAACTGGTTGTTAACTGTGAAACAGGATGCTGAACTAGGCAAACATACATATTTTATTGTATGTGACTGTAGAGCAAGACCCTTCAAACTGTGAGATGGTTGCCCTGACCTGGATAGCCCAGGCAAGCCTGATCTCGGAAGCTAAGCAGGGTTGACCCTGGCAAGTATTTGGATGGGAGACCTCCAAGGAATACCAGGGCCAGGATACAGAGGCAGGTGATGGCAAGCCACCTCTGAGCATCCTCTGCCTTCAAGCCTCACCAGGGGTCACCAGAAGTCAGCTTGACTTGATGGCAAAAAAACTGTGAGATGGTTTATGCTAGTGATCATACTAATATAGGAGAGTAACTAGTCTCTGGACTAATTTAGACTCAGTTGCCTTAAACATGCTACATGGAAGACCTTTCGGGAGGAAACTGTCATGGGAAGGGGCCCTGAACTTTAAAGGTCTACTGGATTTAACTGTATGGGTTGCCTATGTTCTCACCTGCTTGAGTTGATGAACAAAGCTGTTTTCTTCATCTTGTGAAAGAAATCCCGATTGCACATGCCCTGGGTATCAGGTGTCAGAGAACAAGTTACGATGATGAAGTCGGACTCCTCCGCCAGGATGGCAAGCGGTACTTCAAAAACGAAAACAAAACAAAAAACGGAACACTCACCAGGGACTGAAAGGTTTGCTTGCTTTTACTAGCACTCAGTCACTGCGTTTTTCAACAGCTGTCAGGTGCTTCTGTAGAACTAGTCATGATTTAGTCCTGTTTACACAGTATTAGCTTACCAAATCTTCCCCCCTCCCCGGAAGGTTATGTTCAGTGCTGTTAGAATATCTCAAC